AGGCCTTCTAGTCACAGAGCCGACGACACATAATATGCTGGTTGCGAAGACACGATGCAAAAAAAAAATCATAGTTTATTATGAAACATGAACTATGAAATGCATCTTGTAAAATATCACTGAACGAAACAAAAGAAGTTAGATGGAGAAACTAAATGAAGACTGGAATCACTTGATTTTTTACAGTTATTTGTTGCTGTACTCAACTGAAAACACTCCTTCTACAGGAGTAAATGGTTTAATAATGTTATGGTTTTACGTAGCGGTCTTGGCTAAAGTTCACTCCAACCCTGTCGCCATGCCGAAACAATAACACCACTCAGCACTTTCGAAGCAATAATTGTCCTTTCCGCTCTGTCCTAATTTTTCGTTATAAGATCAGCTGACAATTGACATGGCTCAAAGCCACTGATTGGGTTTGGTTCCCCCAGGCCACATCGACCATCGATGCCTAGGATGATACAGCTACTCAGAATGACGATACATGACGCTAGAGAGTGCCCCTGGGACAAGCGACTTCATGTTTTGAAACAGCTAGACTAGCGTGACTGTGGATCAAATGTGTGCTGAAGGGTCCGTTTTGGCTGACCAACTGTCTGGCACTTCCAGCTACAATTGACTCGCTGTCTGAGAGTCGCAGACATTGAGTCACTCTTCCTGAGTCAGACGAACACGCACGCCATTCACGGGCAGAACGAGCGCCTCTCCGATCATGTGACCCGAATGACGCATCAATGACAGATGTGGCAACGACTCCGACATTCCGATATTGTAATAATTGGCACGGCGAGCTCTAAATGCAACCACTGCCATAGGGAGCTCTTAACTGCATCCACTACCCAAAAAGTTCTAGAATGCATCCACGGAAGCACTAAAAAGGCAGAACCACTGACACAACTGTTACCGACACGAATCGCGAGCAGATACCCAAACAATTAACAAACCATCGGCAACCCCCTCCGGCGACTTCAATGACACCCGAGCCCTCACCTAATTGCTGACAGACTGAATCACAGTCAGTCCCTGACCTTGTAGAACGGAGAACACCTGGCCTTGGAGTAAGGAACACGTCACCCATAAAAATTGAAACACCTGACCTAGGAGTGAGGGACACACCTGAAGACCTAATGGACGGAAACACTACTCGGACCACGGACCCTCTTGACCCAAGAATACTCTCTCATGTCCTCAAAATCATCGAACAAATCAGTAAAGATTACCAGAGCCTCATATTGATGCCGATTCGCATATTTCGCCATGTGAATCACATTCGCAAAATGTAAAGGCATAACCTGACTCCGCCCTCTTTTCAATCCCGCTAGGTCTACTTGCGTCTCTACACGTAATATAGCGTCAACATCGCTCAATGGCTAGCTGAGAGCGCAGAAAAAAAAAATTACCGGTGAACCGGCACACCATACCATGCGCCTTTTACCCGGCCCCCGCCGAAAGTATTGGTAGCACTGCTGCTCTACGGCGTACATTTCCTACCAGCCCATAGGGTTTACATGTTAAATGGCCTGTTTTCGGCGAGCGATATCTCGGTCAACCTTTGAAGGAATCAATGGTTCTTAGTCTCAAATGATAGACCAATGAATTTTCTTTCGACAATTCCTCTACCATTTTTCACGAAACACAGCCGATCTTCTACGGCGTACAGGGTAAAGATTTCTCTGCACGCCAGCACCCGCGATCCGCCTCTCCGATCGTCGGCGCGCGGTCCTCGGTAGCGCAGTCGGTAGCGTATCGGGCTACAGATCCGAGGGTCGTGAGTTCGAATCCTGGGAGCGCCGTGTGATTTCGGCTAGAATTGAATGATGTAGAATCTTGAATGTTTGCGTAATCAATTATTAATAGCTAATTGAATGTATCTGCACACTAATCGGCTCCTAAAACCAGTTATTTAAGAAATTTAAGAAATGAATGTCACGTGCGCGTCACGACTGCCAACCATAAGCGCTACCATATTCTAGTTTGAACTAACTTTTTGCTAGTCCCGACCACATATAGTAGGTTTTCTAGTAGTTGTACTAGAAATTCCTACCAAAGTTCGTCCTACCCTTCACTCAATATACCCTGCCTTTTACCAGCGCAACATGTAGTTCTAGAGACCGAACTGTAATACGATTCGAGGACCATTCAGGCCCCTGGGGATTAAGAATTTGTGTGCAATTGCATCTCATGTAGCCGACGGCCGTGCTCGGTGAATGGATCCAGAAAATGAAACGACTGAATGGCGCAAAAGTTGCCGTCAATGGATCGCAAGCACTCCCACGCACAGTGCAAACATTTCGCGGCTCCAGCGGCCAGCTTACCGCGTGAATACGTCGAACTCGAAGTTGGAGATATAGTCGTTTCCAGTGAGGTCGATGGTGGTCTTCAGTGCCTTGGTCTCGAGACCCGGGTGGATGGGATGCACCTCTGCCAGTCGCTCGCGGAACGTCTGCCATGGCACCAGAGTCCTGGCAAAGGCAGGTCACATATAATCAGCAATCACTGGCAGTGAGGTCAGTGCAACAGGGTGGAAGCAGGCTGAGAGCACTGAATGACAGAGTCTCTTTATAGAAATATGGAATTTCACCAGATAGGTATTAGATATTAGATGGGAAGGGATGCCTTAGTACCTAGTAAAGAGAAGCTACAGTGCTGAAGGATGAGCAGGAGCTATACCTACTACTAATATTCAAGCAAATGGTTTCTGAAAAGGTTTGTGAATCCAAGGTCAAACCTTTTCAGCTCTGCCTCTGATAAGCTGTCAGTGAATCAAGGACTAGAGAGGCAGCTTCAAGGGGGCTGGAAGAGCATCCTCTTGTTTGGGAACTATTACAGGGAGTAATAGTGGAGCTATAGCCAGGAGCCAAGATGCAGGTAGGCATATGTTATTTGGAAAGCATGGATCAGGAGGGTGGAGACTGGAGATTGAGATGCCTCCCAAATCCCAATAAGCAGGACTGGTGGTGGTGTGTGCAGATGATCTGATCTGTACTGATCCCAGATTCAGAAGCTTGTGTCAGCTCAAAGCATCTGATGATTGATAGAGCAATATATATTGCATTTCCATCAGCTCTCTGATGATATATGTTCTTTGCCTCTTTCCTGCACTTCTTCTGTGCAGTTGCACAGAACAAGACACATACCTAAAGGGTCCAGTAAAAGATCAAAGGGATGTTTTCAGATTAGGGCAGCACATGTGAATATCAAAATTTCATAAATGAATGGTGCAATGAGGCAATGTTTGCAGAAAAATGTCTGTCTATGCCATATCTATATAGGTACTATGTAAGCAAGTCAACTATGTACTAAGAGCTGTCAAGCTCAAAAAGTGGCCAAAGTTGAAGTTACCCCTCATAAGCAAATCCAGTTCTTCCAGGCTTGGGGCTGCAGCTGCTTGATATACAAGGCTAGGCTTAACTTTTAAGTCAAGTGCTTTGGTAATTTTCAGCACATGTTTAACCTACAATTTCTTATATATTTGATATTGTTGATCATGTAATTATCAACAAGAAATTAATGCTTTTATGAACAATTGTATCTCATCATGAGCATTTCCCAGAAGTCAAGATCAAATAGTAAAAATGCAAGATGTAACAATTATTTTTTAGCATGAAGTAATAAAGAAATGGTGAGCCTTATTTGATTTCAATTCATATAACAATAGAACACCTAATTATGATTGCTAACCTGTCCCCAAATGAAGTTCTCCAGAATTCTGCGGCATCACTCTTTGTGATTCTGTACTGCTCTCCCGAAAACTTGTAATCCGGAAAGATTGCCCTCAGCTCTAACAGCATATGCGAGAACACAAGAGACAGCTTTGTGAGCTCCCTCCTACATGCTGAGTTCTCATCATACATTTGCTCCTTTCCATCGTGGAACTGCTTTTCTGCCTGTTTGCACTTCTTCATGAGGTTTTCAATGAACACACAGAAGTATTCATTGCTGTTCAGCACTTCCAGGTCATTATATCTGCTGCAGATTCCTTTGAGGTGTGTGTAGGTGTCTGGAAGAATGTCCAAGAGGAATGGAGGCGAATTCTTCAGATTCATCTTCCGATGCTGGCAAAGCTTCACCACCTTGTCCATCAATGAGTAGGTTTTGTCAATAGTCCGCTTGTTGATCACAAGCCTAGGTCCCATCTTGTCAACCAAGACACCCTGAATTTTGCTGATAAATGACGGCTTTCCATTGCTTCCCGTGAGCGCCATCGCAAGCCCGCGCACCAACACACACCACCGTCCTCACGCGCGCACGGCTGCCTCGCGACTGTGGAACTGGCAGCCCAGTTGGCAGTGAATGAAAAACTATTCCGTCATGTCTCTATAATTTCGCTTCTTTTTCGCCATAATTCTCCACTTTTTCTCGTATCTCTTCAGTTTTCGAAGACCTTTCTTACCATAAGTCACTAGTATTTTTATACAGCTCTTCAAAAACGATGAATGGCTGTGCCAATGGTTGCATCATTTCATTCATTCTTTAGGACTCTGCCGCTGCATTCATTCTTCTTTTGATTACTGAAGACTGACGAGTGGCTAGATAAAGAGCAGGCGCGAGGGCGCTAGTCTAAACAGGGGCATCCGGATGTGGAAATCGGGCGATATCGGACTCGCCTTGGTGTGAAGTTCTCTGGATAAGATAGCGAATCCGAGGATACCAGAACTCAGAACTATTTTTCGAGATGTGTTGATCAGCATTCGGGGAAAAATGATGCGGGGCGAAAATTTCAGGTTCATTCTACTGTCCACGCGATGCACGTAAGGGTTTACGTGATTACGCAAGACTCAGAGGGTGAGCGGATTATGTTCTTTTAAGGCCCCGGTCCCCGGTCATCGAGTAAAACATGAACATGTCTATCCCCCTGTGTTCAATGAAAACTCAGTCATTCCTCAGGCATAGTTATCACCGAAATAGAAAGCTGCATCTAGTAGCCGACTCGCATAACTGGCTGCCTGTCCGTCCCTCAAGATAGAGCGATAGCTCTAAGCACGTACAACACGCAGGGAAATGCCAGCTCGCTTTATTCATGTCGCCTGTACAGTGCCGATGGCCCGGGGGAGAACAGCTCGAGCGGTGGGCGCGGTGCAGTCTCCCCGGCCGGCTGGGTGGACGCAGCTCGCCGAGCAGCAATGGGCGATACTGGCGGTATCCGACGGCAGCAGTTGTAACTAATGGTTCACCGAACGGCCGCCAGGGGCGCCCCGGGCAAGTCCCTGCCGTTCGCCTTCCAGCGTCAGGCCACTGAAGACTGATGAGTCCGACGACGGTCTCGTCTGGCGCAAAGGCAAATAGGCACACCGACACTGAGCACACCGAACGAATCGCGTCACAACCGGCACAGACAGGCTGACGGGCAACTCCAGACTGAACGCACACCACCTCCGGGCAGCCGCAGCGGTGGTAAATGGAATGAACTCACACCAGACACTCGTGCGAACAAGCGGCCATCCACGTCTAACGACGCTGAGAACTCTCTTAAGCAGTAGCGGAAAAATCAACTGATAGCATATTTCTCCAAAATAAGCGGCCACGAAAGCGGCATGGTTACAACATAAGCAAAACTTTGATCGGAAAAGAGTAAGGCAGCGCGTGATCACGGGCGGGAAAGACGTGTGCGACAGCGGGAAACTGCAACGGAACAGATAAACAATACAAGCGAAATACGACAAACATTTCCCGCAGGTATTTGAGTAACGTGTAAGCTATGGATTAGCGTGTTCAAAGGCCATATCAGCACTCTGGATACACTCGTTTTCAGGAGCTAGGCCCCTGTGTAACCTGTCAGGCATTGGCTGGGCGCAAGCGGCTGAAGATCGCGCCCCACGGTACACTGGCATAAGTACTCGAAATAACACCAGCAGAGCAGAATGGCTATCACCCAGTGCGCACCACATCCCCGAACCGAGCGTGTCCCCTCGAACCCCTGATTTGCCAGCGCACTCGCAGACCTTGGCAGTATCACACAATCCGCGAGCCTCCCGGCGTCCCACTGACTGTGCTGGCCTGTCCGTCACCGCCCTGCCGTGTGATTGGCTGCTCCAGCCGTCCTGGCGCACCGTGATTGGCTGATCCAGCCCTCCCTGCCCCTTTGATTGGCTGATCCAGCCGCCCCGGCGCACTGTGATTGGTTAGGCGAGTCGCGACCCCACTCGCGGAGAGCCGGCGCGCGCTGCGATTGGTTAACCCTGTGACGCAGCGAGTTTCGAACACTCGGCTCTGCCTGTCTGCCCGCGCCCCAGCTAGGCCGGCCCACTAGCCTCGGTTGGGCAGGTCTTTGACCTTGTAGATGCGGACGATCCAGTGTTCGGTGGTGTAGGCCTCCTCCAGGACGTCCAGCTCGAAGTTTTTGTTGCCGATCTCGGCGTTACGGACGCGGTCCCAGCCCGGCGGCCGGCTGCGCTCGGTGTACACCTGGCCAAACCTGAGCGGCACGGGGGAACGTCAGACACAGGCTCGGGGTAATGTGAGACCCGGGGACCGTCAGACATGACGCGGGCCCTGGTCAAACATTGGGTCATCTCTAGGCATATGTACACAGCCGGCACAGCCGATACACCGTCAGAAAGGCTGGCGGGATGGGTGCCTAGAGTAGCGTCAGGACGCGATGCGTCCAAAATGCGAATTAGTACATTGACGATTGAATATTAAAATGGACCGTAAAAGATACAGAATTGTAGCCCATACCGGAGTTTAACACTTAACAAGTTGTACCCAATTACAGGTATAAATATCGACAAAAATTGCTATGCTACAGCAAAACGGTTGAGCACAATTAAGTGAACAATATCACCTGTAGAAATCAGCAACTGAATGCCGAGACAGCGATACCACTCCATAGTTTCCTACCTTAACCCTCGCCCGTATAGGGGGGGGGGGTCGAACGGACCCCCTCCCCCCTCGGTTTTTCGCGAATAACTCGCGTAAAAAGCGGCCGATCGCGACGAAACTTTCAGTACCCTCGCGTTAATCAATTTTACACCTACCCTGAAATTTTCATGACCATGACCCTAATGACCTTTGACCTGTGACCTACTTTTCGAGACCATGTTTGGCCGGAATCGCGATTCGGCGTATGTCGGCTCGCATTAGCAGCGTGTTTGCAGTCTTTTCGTGGTTTTAAGCGTTCAAACATGGGATATGATGTTGCTACCATGCATGAGGGTGGGTGTCAAGGTCACCGGAGGGTCAAGTCAGATCATTGACCTTTGATGACCTCGGTTCACTTTTTTCGAGTTTTACATGTTTCTAGGCTAGTTTTTGGAGTTGAATTCGAATTTAGCAACCATATAAACATTTACGAAGTAGTTTTGGTGCCTTCGTAACATGTTACGAAGCTGTCAGAGGCGGTTGCCACCTACTACGAATACCCTTACTGCCTACTAGTTGACCTGACCTGACCCCACCTGGCCTAAATGCATGAAGACATCATCTCTGATTAAAACTAGCATGATATTCGTGATCAGCACCCCGAAAACCTCATAGCCGCTACGCTTTACGAGTTTCTAGCAGGTACCGATTTTCCCGACTTTTGGGTTATTGACCTGACCTGAAAGGTCAACCGATGACCTCGGACCTTAAAATTAGGTATCATTGGCTTCCTCTCGTCACGGGCAGCACGCTCGTTTTTTCCGCGAAGCTCTAGCTCAATCAGGGGCGAAACGGCAAGGGGGGGGTCCAACGGACCCCCCCCCCCCCCTTATACGTTCGCGGCTGGAAAAACACCAATACGGGCGAGGGTTAAATCCCACCCACCTTCTACATCCCAGCTGACTGACCTGTAGTAGCACATCTTGTACATCAGGCTGTTGAGCATGGTCGGCGAGCCCTGGGCATCAATCCTGAACTCTCCGGACGGGGTGTAGTAGTCCTTCTCATGGATATGCGCGCCGCGGTCGGTCGAGCCTCCAATCCGCACCATCCACAGAAACTTGGCGATGTCGTCACTCGAGTAGCCGGTGAACCCGCCGAAGATGACCAGTACATAGTCGACGTCGAGTTCGCGCATGATTCCGTAGGCGTGCTGCTCGCTGCTGGCCATGGCCTGGCCGACGCGCGAGATGTGCGTGTTGTTCCAGGTGTTGTTGTCGACAATGATGGTCCGGTTGGCCATTGAGGTGATCTGTCGGGAGGACAGAGATGTAGCGCTGGGAGTGGGCCGGAGTGGCGAGATACACAGAAAGAGGGGACACATATGGAGAGAGGCAGGTGTAGCCGGTACACAGTGACAGACACGCATCGGCGGATGAAAGCATCAATGCAAACTGACATCTGCTAGGTAGTTAAATGAAAAGTCGCAAAAAAACGCATACGTCAAGTCAAAATATTGAGCGATACATACTACATAGTATCAAAAACGAACTGATCAGTATAGCCTGGCAATCGCAATGGTTACTTAGCACAACGAAAGCAAAACGAGTGATTAAAAGTAAATGGTATAGGGGCTATCAACTAATGTTTCCTTCGATCAGCGCACCTACGGTTAGAGCGTTCAGACAGCTTTCACCGCCGTATCAGCCATCAGTCTGCTCACCTGATATCCGTAGTCCCACCAGCTCATAACCTTGGCGTCTTCGGGGGTGTTCTGACGCAGCCAGTAGTACGCCTCGCGGAAGTCGTCAAAGATGATCCTCTCGCCGTCGTACTTGGCCGAGAGCACGATCGACGGCGAGCTGTACGCCTCAGACGTCACCCAGGTGCAGTGGAAGCCGTAGAACACCAACATGCCGGCCATCATGCAGACGAAGAAGTTGGCCACCTCGCTGCGGTAGAAGTAGTTGCCCTCGAACTTGGACTTTTTCCGGTCGGCGCCCAGCGCGCTCTGGCGATCAATGGTGACGATCTCGCGCATGTAGACGGCCAGAAGGCTGGAGACGGCGATGCCGGAGACGATGCACATCACCGGTGCAAGCACCAGCATCAGACGCACCATCACGCCGGAGAAGTAGAGCGCCGACGCCGCGTACAGAATGATGAACACGCGGGCGTCGTCCAGCTTGCTGAAGCAGAAGTAGAGGCCGACCGGAAACAGGAACATGAGCACCTGGAAGTCGAAGTAGAAGGAGCTCCAGGCGGTCGGCTGGTGCTCCGACACGGAGGCGATGATCGGGATATGGTTCTTGGCGTAGGACGGGTCGAGCAGAGAGTAGAAGCGTCCTGTCCACGGTGAGATCTTGTCGGTGGCGGCGAGCAGGGCTGCGACGCCCACCAGCAGGGCGGCGCACAGGCTCAGCAGGCTGCGCAGCAGCGTCTCGAACTGGTCAGCGCTCAGCCGCGAGCGCAGGTAGTTAACGAATGCCATCAGCTGGCAGAGGCCGAACACGCCGAGCGCGGCCATGTGCTCCGAGCTCTGCACCGGCTGGAAGCCGACGAACGAGATCTGCATCGAGAGGATGGTGCCCAGACAGTAGACCACCGAGTAGGCCACGTAGACGCGGTGCGAGAAGCGGCCCATCACCATCAGCGTCAGCACGTGCAGCGGGATGATGTTGATGAGGAACACGTAGCCGCCCCAGGAGGAGACCATGTAGAAGTAGGCCACGGCGCACAGCGCCGACCAGAAGACGGTGCCCGTCTTGACGGCGCGGATCCACAGCAGGTAGGTGAGTAGCATACAGAAGATGGCGATGCCCTCGTTGTCGTAGCTGCCGGCCACCGAGCGCGAGATGTAGCCGGGCACGACGGCCACCAGGGCGGCGGCCACCAGGCCGGCGCCGGCGTCCTGCAGCTCGCGCGTCAGCGCGTACGTCACCAGCGTGGTCAGGCTGGAGAAGAGCGGCGCCAGGAACACGCAGATGTGCCGCACCTCCACCGTCACGTGCAGGAAGTGCAGCAGGTGGTACAGCACGGCCGACGTCACCATGAGGCCGGGGTAGATGGTGCCTGCAACGGCACACAGCAGGGCTCACACAGGCTCGGCAGGGAATACATGCAGACCCAGCAGGGGCAGAGTTTTTGGGCACATAATCATTGACGATGATCTTTTAACTACATGGGATACCTTCTTAACCTAGTTCACCTGCTTGTTTCCATGCTACCCTAATAAGTTTAGTAGGTAGGACAATAGAGCTTGCTAATAGAATGAACAGAGAACCTTTCATCAAGCCATTGTTAGCTCAGTGAAGAATAACAATTGTAGCAAAATAAATACCTGCATCAAAATAACATAATATTGCAATTTGCAACACACATTGCAAGCACATCTATCAGATTTTAAAGGATACAAATTGAAAATAAATCAAAGTTTGATTGATTTGGTAAAATAGCATGAAAAATACATATTTTTTCTAACTGGATAGAGGGTGCGCTTAACAGTAGGCAGTGAGCATGGATGCCTAAAATCTTTACAAGCTGAGTATGCACTGTATTGCCACCTGAATTCTGGCAATGACAGCTTTTTAACATTAGTACCATGCAGTCTGCAATCAATGGTTAAACAGAGAATACTCATGCTTAATGCATTCTCTGCAAGTTTCAAACTTATGCAATTTAATTTGACATGCTCGAATCATAACCTAACAAAGGTAAATGAACATTTAAAGGTCAACAACAAATACATTTGAGCTTCCTTCACACATTTCCTGTCATTTAAAATCATTCTGCTAACAACTATCACAAAATTTTCAAGTTGACTTAAGTGGATAAACATAGGGGAGAGCGGGGTGAGTTGTATCATGTCCAAGTTGTATCAGGGCGAATTGTGCCAAACTTATCCAATAGATAGCGCTCGTGACACGACCAGTCGACGAGGTTTTCCGGGCGCCATCTTTCCCTGTTCTGTCGTGTGGCTGGGTGGACGCGTCTCGAGGTGAGAGCCGATTTTATGTTTTTTAATGGCATTCTAAAAAAATAGGTTGCAGGAAAATGTGTGTTTTGGGCATTTAGATGTGCACGAATTTGAAAGATCTCCGTAGCGGTGGTGAGGGTAGGTTCTGAGGCTGCGTGAGTGAAAATGGATTTCTCCAGCTGTCCGCTGTTTTTGAGCACGAAGATGTTTTTTCCAAGATGGCGGCGAGGTACATGTTGTATCAGAGCCGGGTGGGGTATGTTGTAACATGTATGTATGTATGTATTTTTTTTTTTCTAAGCCGCCGCCCATGATCAGACGACCAGGAGTGTCCACCCACTGACCCACGCGACAACAGCACCTTACGTTAACACCTCCCAAGACAAAAATATGAAGAAAGTCGCGACACTCCCTGCTAAGAAAAGGAAAGCAAACAAAAACAAAGCTAAATACAATACTTAGTAAGTTAGTAAAATGTCATAAGAAGAGGCAAAGAAGTCAAGACTAAATGTAGCTTGACTGGCCGCTACACCATTCCCAAAGAAGATAGTAAGAAGGAGAGAGTGATCCAGCGGTTAGTGGTAATAAGCGCATGCAAAGCTTGCATTATAGAAGAGGGACAGAGCCTAGTCACACCCGGAGGAGTCAGATCCTCACCGAAAAGGGATACCGAGCTAAGCAAGCTTGTTGCTCGGTAAGTATGTATGTACCTATGTATGGGTATGTATGGGTATGTTGCTTTTGATCGCGAAAGCTAAGCCCTGGCTCGCGTTTGTAGGTAGCTAGTCAATACTCGTTCCTTTTCGGCACAATGTGTTGGCTGCTTTGCTCTTAACGGGTCACTTTTGCGTCTAGTCTGTTGATGTTTCGTTCGTTTCGATGTTTCGTTCGGATTGACCAAGTTTGGTCTAATAAAAGTGAAGCCTTTGAGCAAATACATTGTATTAACCCCATTTAATGTTGTTGTTATGTTCAAAACCAGTAGCAAACACACTCCCTGAAACGTGAAATAGTGATACAAATTACCCCACCATGTGATACAACTCACCCAAGCCATGGGGCAAGTTGTATCAAAAACATTGCTCTCTTCGGCAGACCGTAGAAGATAAACTAGTAGAGGTAACGGAAAAGTTACCTTGCACAAAAAAGCAGAAGAATCAAGGAAGGGGGTAGTATGGAAATAATGAGTTTATCACGGATAGTTACGAGGTTATGGGTCTCTGAGTAAAAACTGATACAACCCACCCCACTCTCCCCTACATAAGTGTCATGAACTTCACAGAAAAAAATGATGCTATCAAATAATTCCAAATGACATAATCTGGTCAAACTTCTCAGGCATCTGCATATTACCAACAATCAACATAAAGTACATTGAAACTTGAAAGTCATTTCTTAGGTTGTAGTTCAAATGGTTTTTCATTAAAACATTTGGTTCCTTACATGTTTTGCTACCTGGTATCTCTGAATGCAAAAATGATGCTTATTTTTCCAGCAAATATCATGATAATCTGATGATAGGTCAGTTAAGGTCACCTGATCCAACATAATCAGACCAAACCTAACCTAGCCTTCTACCTGAGGTGCTTAACCCGCGCCCAGATGGGGTCTGCCGAGCAACGCGGTCTGATGGGGGGGGGGGGGCCATTTTGGCCCCCCCCCTCAGATCTCGAGAACCACGCAACATAGCGACAAGCGGTAAACGGTGTTGGATAGCCCCAACGGGGAACTACCTTGTGACCCAATTTCATTGACCTCGGTCAAACCGATGACGTCACAGGTCAGTTCAAAGGTCGAATTTTCACCGTTTACAGGCATTTCAAGAAATGCGTTGTAAAATCGAGTAAAATGCATTTCATTGAAAATCATCGATTGGGAAATGTTCTTCAAACACATATTTTGCTATTTGAGGTCACTGATACCAGGTCAGGTCACAGAGGTCAGGTCACTGGGGGGTCACAATATGAAAGTGTCGTGTGCTACATGTTTTATGGTCCATTTTACATGACAAATGCGATTATGTGGGTCAGACAGACTTTTAGGGCCAGCTTAGGTCACGTTTTGGTCAAGGTCAGGTCAAGGTCAGGTCAAGGTCAGGTCAAATTAGGTCAAATTTCAAAGTTGATATTTTTGCATAAAATGGGTATCGATTCGATGCAGCTCGTCACGGGGAGTTCAATGGTGGTCTCCGTTTTGCGCTACGAGGTCTAGAATTGCTAAAAATTGAGTTCAAAAATTTGACGTCATCAATTTTTAACAGTTTTTTTGCTATAACTTGGCCAAAAAAAGAGGTATCGATCTAAAATTTGGTATGTATATCGAAGAGCGCAGGGACTATCACATATATTCCGGTTTTTTCGAAATTCGAAAATTTTTTGGAAATTTTTTGAGTTTTTCTAAAAAAATCAATTTTTTTTTTATTTTTGGGGGTCAAAATCCCAAAATTTCGAAAATCCGAGATAGCAGTTTTGTAGCGCCGTCTTTTCTCTATACAACCACATAAAGAACTTTAAAATTGCTTGTTAACTGTAGAATTTGTGAGCGTTTAAAGATGTCATGTTATTTGCTCATTTTTACTCGAACATGACCTCAGTTTGACCTCAATAACTCCTGACCTGAGGTGACCTGTGACTTGAAATTTTGTGTGAAGGTGTCAAATTGATGCCCGGTAAGGTACCCAAAATTTGGCGCCGCCGTTTTCTCGCTATTTAAGAAAAACCACAGGGGGGCCAAAATGGCCCCCCCATCAGGGCGCGGGTTAAGTGTTTGGTGTTAGGCAGGTCTGAGGTTAGATAAGGTCAGGCTAGGTTTGGTAGGAATTACTTGGCAAAGTTAGGTTGGGTAAGCTAAGGCTGAGTTAGGTCAGGTCAGACTATGTCAAGTGACATAACCTCAATGGATTATCATGATATTGAATGTACTAATAGCATCACTTTTAAATTCATGGGATGAAAAAACATCAAAGAACAGAACATAGATCCTTGAAATAACATGTGGGTCTCAGCTTCAGTTTTACCACATTAAATGTAGTATGGATAAGTTCAAAGCATCAGCTGTCATTAAAAAATGTTGAAGCTTCATATATAGCCTCTGCTATTCTAGCCCACTCTCATTAAACCTAAGCAATGCACAATGCATTGTGCTGCATCAATACACAAACACAGTAGGTACCAAATAATGCATTGAACATTGATTGAAGTTGTGCCTTTATTAGCTATTTGATTCCTTAGCTGATTAGAAATTTGAGGAGAAAATAAGACTTAATAAAAATATCATGAGTCTTTCAAGTTCATTAATTTAAAAATGTCTTCATAAGCCACAAATAGCACAGTCATTTGGGACTCGGAACGGTGGACACTTTGACATGAAGGTGCCTGATTCTGGTAAAACACATTTCAATTTATGATAAATGAAAACCTCTACTGTTACTATATGATGCTTTCCATCATTCTATGCATACCAATTCTTTGGATGACCCAAACTTTGCCACTATTTCAGGGGAATCGACAAATATGACCTTCAGTTCCGGAAACTTACCTCCAATAATTCTGCCCAGTGGATACCATGCTCGATCATCAAACCAGTTGTGAAACTTGTAGAAACCTTCGTCTGCTAGATATTTGGTGGTTCTATAGTTGAAGTAAGGGTCGAATTCATGAATGACTGCTTCAAACCGAAGCACCGAAAACAAGCGGCTGGAGAATGCCAAGACCGCAGCGATTGTTAGGATAGACATCTTGAGTAAAGAATCTTGCTTGTCATGAGACAGCTTTATGAAGCTTTTTTTGACATATGTAATTGCCATTTTTGCAGTTATATTCCAAGCTAAACGAAAGCCCCTGTCGTCCCCGGGGACAACACCGGCACGGTCCCCCGCAGGCGTATGCGATGGTTGCGATGGTTATCGGAGGTTTAGCCTTTGTATCGGCACCTTTGTATCGGCACGTATACAAATGCAATGAAAACCGGCATGCGTCGGAATTGAAACAAAGCTTCATAATAGGCAACAGACGCGTCTGATTTGGTAGCCTTCCTTTGCTACCATATAAAGTATTTCTACGTGTCACTTCAGCTTGACTTCAGCTAAACGTTATTCAGGGTAATTAGGCAAATTGCACGTACAGTAAGTACACCAGGGCCTATTTTAACATGTTAACTGGGGGGGCAAATGCCCCCGCACTCAACAGAATTGCCCCCCTAGTCGTCGAGATTTGCCCACTATAAAAATGGGCATAAAGGAACAGGGTGACAAACATACTACGTAACTACTGTGACTTGTTTTGCAATGGATGTCAAATGAGTCAGTCTGTAAGTAATGACCAGTGGTGTATCTAAGGGTGAGTCATATGGGTCATGACCCCCCACCCTCTTGGGGCCCGGGGACACCACAGGCCTGCCAGGGGCACCACCGGCCTGTCAGGGGCACCACAGGCCTGTTGGGAGCACCATCAACCTAGCAAGAGCACCATAGGTCTGCCAGGGGCACCACAGACCTGCCAGGGGCCCCACCGGCCTCGCAGGGGCACCACCTTTGGCCTGTCAGGGGTACCACCACAGGCCCGCCAGGGGCACCATAGGCCTGCCAGAGGCACCATAGGCCTAGCAAGGGCGCCACGGACCTGTCAGGGGCACCAGAGGCCTAGTATGGACACCACATGCCTGGCAGGGACACCACCGGCCTCGCAGGGACTGGGACACCTTGGGCCTGTTAGTGGCACCACGTGCCTGTCGGGGACACTCCAGGCTTGTCAGGAGCACCAGTGGCGGATCCAGGGGAGGGCAAAATGGGCATTTGCCCTCCCCAAAGCTAAATCATGTGGGCAAGACTGTCCTTTTGCCCCTCCCAAAGCATAGAGAGATGATAAAATTGAATACGGCGTCGAGGACTATCTGGACGAAAAGCAGGACTTTCGGTGACGGCCATTCCGAAGCAAGGAGCTGGACGCTCGCTGCTGATGATTTATGCCAGAATGCTGTTAATAGATCGAACTCCCTGAACTGATTGCATGTAGATAGTGTTGCGTTGTAAAGTCGTTTGGTCATCTCGGTGCTCAAGGGCAGCGGAAATCCGGATAGAGGGTGCAGGGGTTTCAGCTCCAGACCCATGGAAAACATTGGAGTGCAAACATAGCTTTTTGCACCCTCCAAAAGCCGTATAAGAGGCCTGTCACACCACCAAATACATTTTATCCTAAAAACCAGTGATCGGGAAACGAACGATCATGTGGGATCACCGATCATCAGACGTCCAGTTGTTGGCCAGGAGCGCCCTATGCTGGTCTTTGGGGCCCTCACCGGTTAGGAGTGTCCCGAACCGCGTTTGGTGCCCCATGACGCCATCTGAGGATCCCACGGAGACTCCAGGGGTTACGCTGCCTCTGAGGGCCCCCACGGCGGTCTCTGAGGGCCCTCGTGACACGGTCCTAGACCCATCTCAGGTCTGAGTGCCCATCGGGCTTTAGACGGCCCACGATGACCTTTGAGGGCCCCAACACAACCAGGCTGCAGGCAGGGGCTATGCTGGCATCTGAGGAATCTGTGACGGTCTCTTGATGGCCCTAACGATGGACTCTGATGTCCTTACCACAGCCTCTGAGGGCCTTGCAAAGATACCTGAGGGCCCAGGACCTATGAAGACCGTCATGATGGCCAAGGATCTTCATGATGACCTCTGATGGTCCTCTTGAAGGCTTCTAAGGGCCCTCACAACGATTTCCACAGTGATTCCACCCGAGACGGTCCCTGAGGGCCCTCACGACGACCTCTATCATCTATGGGCCCTCACGACGACCTCTAGGACCCAATGCAAGCTTCAAATGCCCACGCTGGCGTCTGAGGGCCCCACGACGGCCTCTGATCTGGCCTCAACGCAGGCAGACTGCAGGGGTCATGCTGACCTCTGAGAGTCCTGTAACGAAGGCTCCAAGGGCCCACGCTGGCCTATGAAGAACCCTACGACGGCCTCTGGAGGGCCTTAACGCAGGCAGGGGACATGCTGGCCTCGTGGCCCTGCGAAGATTTCAGATTCAGAGGCCCTTCACAACGACCTTTGAGGGTCTTACAAAGGTCTCTGAGGGCTTACGCAGGCTCGTGGGATTCCACACTGATTGTCAGGTCCCATGTAGGCTTGTTGAGACACTGTATCCGCTCCTGGTGCCCCTTCGCCGGCCTCTGAGAGTCTACACGCCGGAATGTCTTGGCCCTACACCGGCTTTTAGGACCATTACATCGATCTTGGTACCCACGTCCCATCAGATATGTGTCCAAGCGGCTTCTAAGAATCCCCATGCATGTTCCACGGACACGAAGCCGAATTTTTGGGCTCACACGCGAGCTCTTGGGACCCCATGCACGCTCAAGGGACCTACCTGCCTCCAAGAGCCTCACACATACTTTTGGGGCCCTAACGCTTGCCCCTGAAGGCCCCACTCAGACTCCTACCCTTTCCTCCACACCGGTTCTTTAGGCTAAACATCAGCTGCTTTGGCCTCTATCCCGGTTTTTGAGGGCCTCCATACAGGCTTTTTGGGTCCGATGCCGGTCTTTGAGAACTTTCCAGACTCTCGAGCCTACGCTGCTTTCTGAAACCCTTCAGCACCTTCTGAGGAACCGACCCTGGTCGGAGACTCATTCAATCTGAGAAGTCGTGAAGGTTTCTGGAGGAGCCTCCATTGAGTCATTCAGTTTCCAGAGTTTTTTTTAACGGTCTTGTAAGAGCGGACCCGTAGGGCTCTCAAAGGTCCACTGCGGATCCAGAAAATTGGTTTGAGGCTTGCGGGTGGTGGTTAGCATAAGAAAAATCACCCCGAGTAAAAAAAAACTTGTTGCATTTCACTTATTTAGGTATGCTGTGATTTTGTTAGGTTCACTGAAATATGCAAACATTTTGGATAACTTCCTGTATGGATTGTTTCCTTAACTTTTGGTTTTCATAAATCGATGATTGACGGCTTGAAAAAGTAAAGGGGCCCAAACCCTTGAGAAAATTTTGCATCCCCATCCAAAATTTATCTTACATTCCTCCCAGTGCGGGGGCGGATAGGGGTCGTCGGATAGGTCGGAAACTTTTGCCCTCCCCAAACGGATCGGCTGGATCCGCCCCTGAGGAGCACCACAGTCCTGTCAGGGCCCAGGGGCACCACCGGCCTCACGTGGACACCACCGGCCTCGCAAAGGCATCATGGGCCTGTCAGGGGCACCACGGGCCTGTCGTTGGAACTTCAGGCTTGTCAGGAGCACCACAGTTCTTTCAGATGCACCGGCGGCCTAGCACCATGGCACCATGTTTGGCCGAGGTCGCGATTCGGCGTATGTCGCCTCGCATTAGCCGCGCGTTTGCAGTCTTTTCGTGGTTTCAAACGTTCAAACATGGGATATGATGTAGCTCCCATGCATTAGGGTGGGTGTCAAGATCACCGGAAGGTCAGGTCAGATCATTTACCTTTGATGACCTCGGTTCACATTTTCGAGTTTTATATGTTTCTACTTTCTAGGCTAGTTTTTGGAGCTGAATTCGAATTAAGCAACCATTTGACCATTTACGAAGTAGTTTTGGTGCCTTCGTAACATGTTACGAAGCTGTCAGAGGCGGTTGCCACCTACTACGAATACCCGGCAAAACCCTTACTGGTTGACCTGACCTGACCTGACCTGGCCTAAATGCATGAAGACATCATCTATGATCATAACTAACATGATATTCGTGATCAGCACCCCGAAAAACCATAGCAGCCACTCTTTACGACGCTCTAACAGGTCCCGATTTTCCCGACTTTTGGGTCAATGACCTGACCTGGAAGGTCAACCGATGACCTAGGACCTTAAAATTGGGTATAATCGGCTTCCTTTTATCACGGGCAACACGGTCGTTTTTTCCGCGAAGCTCTAGCTCGATCAGGGGCGAAACGGCAAGGGTGAGGGTTAGGGTGGCACTTAGCAATGGGGTGAATTTTATGTTTTCCGATTTTTATGCGTGCGGGTAGTTTTCTGGTTCCATTCCCGTAAAAAATAATGTGTGCAAAATGATTTTGAAAAATATTGATATTTAGGGGTCGCGAATTGAGGTCAAAGTTGACATTTTTTGGGAAAAATCAACTTTTTGGAAACTGCTTTAAACCTATTTGGAATGACATATGTGGTCATTAAGCGTCATTTCCGACGTATGTCGACCTTTATTTGTATAACAATTGTTTATCCCATCACTTCCGGCCGATCGTAGCCAGTCTAGGTCAGGCCAAGACAGGTCTGATCTGGGCTGCTTTACCCATGTCAGGCCTGTTTTGGCCTGCGACCGGTGCCTTCTCACAGTGGAGGTCATATCCTCCATATATCCTCTGATTATCCATCCTCTGATTAGTCATATCATATCTGATGGTCATATCATCATCATCATCATCATTTATTTCGTTTGGAAGCTCCATGCACTCACGGCTTTTCAGTCCAAGTGTCATACAGTAAATAGGTAGGCACATATATAAAGCTAAAATAAACACTAAAGCTAAAAGTAAAAACCATGAAAAGCATGGGACTTAAAAAGTAAAATGCATATCGGTACAAATGACCGAAAGCTACGCGCACAGTGACTAGTCACCATTGAGTAATCGTCGACAACGCCTGCGACAAGTGGCCGACGTGCGTGACGACCGAATGTCTGCTGGCAGCGAGTTCCAAACGTCACAGGCGCGGTAATACAAGAACTTGCGAGCATGTTCGGTGCGAACCCTCGGCAGTTCGAGCTGCATATTCTCAGTGGCTCGAGTCTGTCTGCTCGACACGTCGCTGCGTTGTACAAACCGCTCAGAGAGGCACTTCGGTGCATGAACATTATTCAACAAGTAATGCACAGTACTGCAGTCATTCTCCGCCACCAGCCTGTCTATATGGGGCCAGCATAGCTCTGCCAACAGAGGCGTCACATGAGCCGAGCGTCGGACCCCCATGACGACCTGTGCACAGTGGTTTATCACCTTCTGAATACGGTGTCGTGTTCAGAAGGTCACTCCTCTGATTAGTGTGAGGAGTGACCGGTCTCCCTTGTTCCAAAGGGAGGACGAGCCCCACGGTTCTATCGGTTCTTGAGACATGCTCCTTTTCTGTCGAAGAGAATGTGAAGAAGTTGGAGTCAGCCTATCGTCGGCGGGCGAAAGCAGAGGCGAGAGTGTGCATTGAGCTGCACTGGTTTATTGTGCTTTCGGGATGTTCTTCCGTGGGCGCTTCTTCCGACTCTAGTGTCAGTGCCAGCAACAGACTTAGCCGGCCGTTGCGGCGCACACACGGAGGGAACGTCTTTGACGATGGCTACCATGAGAGAGAAACGTCGACGCACACTCCCAAGCGCATGCGGGCGAGCGGACGTCTCTAACAGTGAACTGGCCTCGACCGGGCCAAACTGCCCAACCGTAATGTGTGAAGAACACGTGAGCCTGTTATCAACTGCGGCATGGAACTTAGGATACGACTCCGGCTGAACCGCGAATCCTGAACCGCGAGAGATGGAGCGTCGACCGATTCTACATAGGTCCTGGTGATGGGGGGGGGGAGGGATTGGGGTGGCCAAGCTCCTCGCCGTTCCCAACCTCCCCTCCATCCAAGCACAGGAGGCCATGCTCACAGCTCTGGGGGACTAAGAACTGGAGAAGCGGAACTGTGGCCTTTTGCTTCGACGCCACGACGGCGAACAGCATGCTGGTGAACGGTACTTTAGCCCTTATCGAGCAGAAGCTAGATCGGCCCGTCCTTCAGCTGGCCTGCCGGCACCACGTGTAAGAGCTGGGCCTAGAGAAGGCCTTCTCCACCTGCCCTAGAATCTCGAGCGGCCTCTACATCCGGCTGTTTAAGAGTTTCAAAGGCGGGTGGGAGTTCATACTTCATTGACAGGATCACACCGGTGGCGTTCGCGGTCGACGACGTTCTGGAGTGGGACGAGCTGCTGGTCAGCTTCCATCGCTTCCATCGCTGGACTATGCCTAGCTCCGGGAAGACTACCGAAAACTTCTGAAGCTCTGCGTAATTGTTCTCGGCGGAGTTCCAAGCACGGCATCCGTTTCTCCGCCTCAGAGTACTCCATTGAGTTAGGTGGATGGCAAAGACCATCTGCACTGTGGATGCCTTCCTCTTCAGGGAGCGGCTCCGGCTGACGGCGGCCGAGGCCCAGGTCATCAAACGCTGTGCGCTGTCCGTTGCCTGCAAGTTTGCCGCCGCCGCCGCCGCCTGGTTTGGGACTCTATTGCCACTGCGCCGGCTCTGGACCTGACCTTCGTGAACTCGTTCTGCACCTACCCCGACAAGGAGCTGTCGAAGGCGACAGTCCTGGTCTTCGGCCGTCACCTGTAGTACTTGAGTGATCGGCTGCCTGGTGACTCTGGAGCTTTTAGACCCCGACCCTCGGGCTCAATCAAGACATGGTGCGGGCAATAGACTTGTAGGAGAGGGAGGACCCTCCCCATAAGTCCTTAGTGGACACTATGAACGCCGCTCTCGCGACCGAGACCTTGGTGAGCTTCCTCACATCGTCGTTCAAAAAGCTCTCAAGGATCCACGACCTGGACGCGGGGCTCATCATCAATGACCAAGGCCACTGGGAGGACAGCAGCTACCAAACCGCAGCTCGTGTAGTCCGGGAGCTGCGGTTGGTGAATGACTTCACCAGGCGCGGCATGGCGCTGATGTAGGACTGGCACTCATGAAAGACAAAGATTAGCGCCAGTTCTTCCTCCATGCCGTTGAAAAGATCACAGAAAACGCTAACCTGACACCCGAAGATCGACTGCAATTGCTAACCAGGCTATAAACAAAGTGATCTGGGTGCCCGTTGCCCATGATACCCCTCCCTCCAATGAGGCGCCAATAATCTACTAAAGAGGAGGCACTTGAGTAGTGGAGTACATAGACCAGCGTTCTGGTGTGACCGAAGCTGCGCTGCATGAAATATCAAAAAACAATATGAAAATGACTAGGAAATGCTCCATTATCATCCGATTACAGCGTAATAGGAAAGTCCGAAACGATTTTAATGATATTGAAATCTGCCACCAAAATCCGAACTTTGACCTTGATTCGCGACCTCTAAACTTAAATATTTTCCCATAAAAATTTGCCTCCCTTATTTTTTACGGGAAAGGAACTGGAAAACCACCCGCACGCATTTAAAATCAAAAATTGATTTTTAAGTGCCACCCTAGTGAGGGTCCAACGGACCCCCCCCCCCCTATACGCTCGCTACTGGAAACACCAATACGGGCGAGGATTAATGGATTATTTAAGACAATTTTCCAGGTTGCCCCCCCCCCCCCCAGTCAAATTCCCTTAAAATAGGCTCTGAAGTACACTGACGGATCCAGGGTCAGGGGTATGGGCGTAACCGCCTAAGCGGACAGTGCGGAAACTCTGCACCGGTTTCTAGGGGCTCAGAAGGGAGAAGTACCTAAAGGAATCTTGACAGAGAAGGCGCCTTTCTTTCCCATCTCTTTTCAGCATCTACCTGCGGCACCGTCCCTGAGAAACGTTACCCAAATGACTCTCTCATCCTACCCAGGCATCCCACTTTCCGCATATTAGGCGCTCCTTTGAGATTTATAAACGCCTGTCTTTCGCATGAAGCCGTACCTATGGCCATCATAGGCGCCCCTAAAAGCCTAGGCGCCCCTCTTTCGCTCAGAGACGCCCCTACGGACATCAGCGGCGCCATTATAGACGTCAAAGGCGGCCCGATGGGCTTCACCACGTCCAAGTGCTCCTCTTTCCATTGGCCTCAGAGGTGCACCTCTTTGGCATGCAGGCACTTGCGTTTTCACTTTTCAGGGGAAAATTGAAAGCCCTATCGGGGCTTTCACGGAACCCACCAGTGTTCGAGATCCTTCATTGGAGACGCCAATATGGCCTCCATGGGCGCCTCCCCCTTGCAGCATGTGAGCGCTCCTCTACTACCTATAGGCCTCAGAGGCACCCCTATAAGCCTCGCCCTCACAGTCACAGGTGCCCCTCTTTCGCATGCAGGTGCCCCTTTATAGGCCTCACAGGCGCCCCTATGCTGTATGCATGATCACAAGCGCCTCTCTTTTGCATTGAGGCGCTCCTATTAGGTATAGGAGCGTGCGAGAGGCTACATGCGAGAGGGGCGCCCATGAAGTCCATATATGAGCTTCATGGGCGCCCCTCTCGCATGTAGGCGCTTCAGTGACCTCAGAGGCGCCCCTCTCACGCATCCCATTTCTATGGGCGACGGCGCCCCTTGTGGGATGGTCATGGTTCCCCTATGACAGCTTTTCCAGACCACTCTGTTGCGCGTGGTTACAATTCTGGGGGTATTTGGGGCTAATTAATGCCCCCCCCCCGCGAGGCGCCGGAACTTGACAAAATGTTGCGGTTTTTCGAGAATGAAAAAAAAAACAGTTTTTATAAGGAAAATTTATTTTAGACTGCTTAGCAGTGCATAGAGAATCGAGTTCCTAGCGTTTCTTGAAAATTGGAGAAACTTTTTTGGGGGTAGGTACTAGGTAGGTACCTACCTTTGCTTCCCGCAGCGTCTAAGACTTCTTTCTGGATCCACCGGTGTTACAGTAGCAACACACGAAATGGAAAGCACATGCACAAAAAAATCTTGTATTTGTATTGTATTTGTACCTATTGTATTTACATTTAAGAGCGATCCACATACAAAGTGCGTGGCGATGTCCCCGATCGAACTAGAGCGGAAAAAAATTGAAGACGTTTCCTGTAACGAGTGGAAGTCGATGACACCCAACTTTCAGGTCTTAGGTCATAGGTCGTCCTTCCAGGTCAAGCCAATGACCAAAAACTCGGGAAAATCGGGACCAACCATTGTTCAGGTCCCGAAGAGCCTCACTTTCAGAAGCTCTGCAGAGCTTCTGAAAGTGAGGCTCTTATTTCCTTTTACGGATAATTATGCGCTAGTATGCACTTCACCCTTCACCGTTGCCTTGCTTTCATGCAATGCCCTAATGCATAGGTATTGGCTCCGTGTTACCTATGTATTAGGGCATTGCATAGGTATTGGTGCCTCTTCTTGGCTCTCCTGACCTAACTTGACCTGATACCTATCGACTTTACCTCTACTTTTGTCAGCAGCTTGAAGCTGACGTTTTTGACGTCGAAATTTGCAAGCGCCTAAAAAATCGACCCTTCACGACATTAGGGGCTAGACCCAATTGTTTTATTTCGACCCAGCTTGAACCTGAAAAAAAAAAAATCAAGAGAGATGGGCTAAGAGGTGCTGAAAGTTTTACGCTCCTTATATCTCGGTATAAACGTTCGATAACTATCGCATATATTCGTCGGGGGGGGGGGGGGTCGCCACCGGGTCCAACAGGCCGCCACCGTTCCGCGGCGTCAAAGCAGGCCCTCCTTCCAGCGCCCGCTGTGTAATGGTCGGGGTCATTGAACCACCGCCCCGCAACATCCGTCCTTGTTATATTCTTTACTATCAGTACCTTACCTACTATCAGTATACATATGTTAAGAGTGAAAGCGTCTGTATTTGTAGCGTCAACCCAATGAAGCCGTGAGCAATAAACAACATGACATTGTAGCACCTTTTCCATGCGCAGTACACACCCACGTTGACCACAGCCATACATTGCAGTTATTTTCACATTGCACATAGGGCCATATAGTATTAAATGTGCCAGCATTCAAACGCGCGACACCGTCCGTTGTATATATTGAGGTGCATGGTCGGTTCGACAACACGGAGTCATGCGCCTTTATACGCTACATTTTCCACGCCTATAAAAATCCATTATATGTGGACAGGAACGAATGAATGCAATTCATATAAAATATTATATTCCTCATACCTAAACATATATATTGCCAGGTAAATGCAAATGTGATGTCTCCACAAGTCGGCTATACCTAATCCATTCGGATACAGCTGGAAGCTCCTTCTCGACACCAGCAGTTACATTACCTAGATTAGACGTCACCCAGCTGTTCTGATGTCGCGTGTTTACACATCCTGAATGTTGCAAGTGGTGCTCAAGTATACTCTGCAATTATATAACAGGATCAGATGATGCTCTGTTAACTGTTAAGTACTTACGTGTTGATAAGGAAATGCATAACATAAACAAAAATGCGCACTGACATAATTTGCATTAAGCTCGGTGCGTCCCCGTGTAATGCGCATTGATTTTGCTGGTGCACGAGCATATTTGATGGATAATTGATTCACATTGGCAGCATTAAATGATTACGGAGCGAGCGAAGCGAGCGTAGTCTTTCCTTAGATTACGGAAATTTCTGAGTATGAGCGGCCGGCCGGCCGGCCGGCCGTGCGGACGCTTTTGCGACGCTTATATCTCAGCAACCACTTGACCGATTGGCGATTTACACGGGGTAATTTTTGTAGGGTAGCTTCATTCCTTCTTCCAAGTATTGGACTATTCCCGATGCATGTGGGTGACCCCTTATGCACGTGCCACGCGCAAAACGAAGAGGTGTCAGTTTTGTAATTGTTGCAATATCTCGGTAACTACTTGGCCGATTGCGCTGAAAGTTGGCATGTAGGTAGGCACCCACTAGGCACTCCATCCATCCATGTGCCAGAGTTGGGGTGCTGCTGCACGTGCGCACGTGCAGGGGTCGTTTCCAGATCTCGAGAACGGCTGGACCGATGGCGCTCAAATTTGGTACACGGTTAGGAACCAGTTAGTAGGGTGCCGTGCACAAGTCAGTTGGGACCCATTCTGCACGTGCGCACGTGCAGGGTGCCGCTTCCAGATCTCGAGAACGGCTAGGCCGATTGTGCTCAAATTTGGCACATCGCTAGAGACCGGTTAGCAGGGTGCCGTGCACAAGTCAGTTGAAGGTACCCCCTCGAAATTTCGCACGTGCAAGGCTCACCCTCTCGCTCGCTCCGTTAGTCGCCCCAAAAGGCGCTATACTGGTTAGATACTGTCCCATTTCAAGGTTGATTTACATACAGCTCTTTACAGGCACACAGGCAAAGATGATTTCCTTCATCCCTTCAGCTCACGTTTTCTGTTAGATGCAGGTGATGCCATATTTTAGACGTTCGTCCACAATTTCTGGAAGATGCATCTGGTGCCGTGTTTTAGACGCTCGTTCACAGTTCTGGCATGATTTACCTATGCGTCGCCCTATTTCAAACACTCGTTCACAGCTTCTGGTAGATGTACGTGATACCCAATCTGAGGCGCTTATTCACATCTTCTGGTAAATGTACTTGCTGCCCTTTGTGAGACACCCATTCACAGTTTCTGGTAGATGTAGGTGATGCCCTGTTTGACGCCCTGGAAGTAGCGGTCGGTGACGTAGCGGTCGACGCGACGCCACAGTCCGCGCTGCTCCAGTCGGTCCATGTGGGGTTCTAGCTGGTGGAACTCTGTCACCGTCACCAGGTACTCGAAACGCAGCGAGTTGATGACGTAGCCGCCTGCAGGGGAGCCGTACATACTGTCAGCGGGCTCACACGCATCTATTCTAAACCAAATCAACCATTTTAAATAATTTAAGTTAAATTCGATATAAATATATTCTGTCTTGAGTACGACAAAAGCCGCTGGCAGATCTGTCTAAATCTCACCCGGCTTGCATATGCGAATCGCCTCATCCAGGGCAGTCAGCGGAAGATGTCCTTTGACGAAGCCAGCGGAAATTGTCACAGCGTCATAAGTGTTTTCCTTTATGTCCAACGGCTTAGATTCATCCACGATCTCCTAAAACGGAACAATATTGACGCGTCAGTGCTCGCACGTGCAGACTTAGCTGATCCGTTCGCCGAAAATTCCCCCGCTCGTGTTGTTGAATGGCTGCATGTTCGCTGTAATGTCGACAGTCGTTGAGATTGTGACGCTTGGCCCTCGAACGACAAGCATGCAGTAACGAATGATATCGCTGATTGGTTGACATAGGTGACTCAGGTCACACAGCTGACCCAGGTCATATAGATGACTGACGGGCAGTTGGCACTCGTGGCACTCACAACTGACCGTTTACCTATTTACTGCGTTCCGGCGCAGCTCGGCGCGGCAGGGCTCCGCTCCCCGCGCACCAATAGCCACATTTCACTGCCGCTGTGGACATACGAGGCGCACACTGTGGAGAACCGAGCGCACACTGTGGAGTGTAGACATATACGGAACGCACACTGTGGAGTCAGGAGTGTAGACATATACGGAGCGCACAGTGTGGAGCACGGAACGCATGTGGATTGAAGTGGACAGTGTGGACACAGAACACGCACAGTGGAGTGTGGACATATGTCCACATACTTCGTATGTGGACCTACTTCGTATGTACGAAGTACAATCCATCATGCATGGTAGGAGCCGCAGCTTACAGGGTCCTGGGTCATAAATTATTTTTTCTCTCCTTTCTCTCTCTCTCTCTCTCTCTCTCTCTCTCACTCTCTCTCTCTCTCTCTCTCTCTCTCTCTCTCTCTCTATCTCTCTCTCTCCCTCCCTCTCTCTCTCTCTCTATCTCTATATATCTCTCTCTATCTCTCTCCCTCTCTCTCTTTCTCTCTTCCTTTCTCAATCTCTGTCTGTTTTCCTCTCTTCGATTATTGATTTAATGTTGGAAATGAGGCAATCACCTTTTATTAATATTTTAAATCACCTTCAGCTATCGAGCTAACAGTACTATCCTCAATTACAAAGCGTCACTTGTCTCCAATAAGGCATTGACATAAAGAGATAAAGAGCGCATTTCGACGGTTAAATTAACCATCGATCAAAATAAATTGCCATTTTAGGTATAATTTATTAGAATGATATTTAATTTAATGATTGGATTGGATGAATCCGGGATGAAATAAAGGCGTCTCTCATGACACATTACACTGCGAAAGGTAAACTAAATGCATCGAATTCAACGTTTTCATGTCTTCATTAGAGCATCTATACATTGTGCATGTTTATATAAATGTACTAACGAGATTCAGGCCGGTTCAGGAGTCGGGACAGTAGCGGATGGAAGCTCTGACGATGCCTCAAGCCGTTCCTGAAATAGGTCGTGTCACCCCAAGGTTAGGTATTTAGCTCCCTAAAGCATTGAGCATCAGCACGTTAATATATAAGGCGCAGTAAAAAAAACATCACTACAGTTCGACTTCCTGGAATTGCATTTATAGGTATAACCTGTTTTGTATAACCTTCCCTATCTTTGAAGAATATTTTACACCTAACTAGCATACGCTATTGACATACGTGTGCTCGCTTTTCCCTCGTTGAATGTGTGACTTACATTGAAGATGTGCCGGTAGACGCCCCGGGACCGGGCTATACGGGCCATCTGATTGGAGGCGTCCAAACCGTCAATGTGGCGCACGCCAGCATCGTGGAGCTGTCCAAAGACAGGGGGTGACGTCAGAAATGACACAGGTGATACATGTGTCAGACATGGCACGAGTGGCATGTGTTTCAGAAATGACACGTAATGTTAGAACTTAGAAGGTAGACTCACGGACCAAAAATAATTCAACTTCAGACCAAAGCGGTGTGGTGTTCACTCGTAACCACCGTGACCATCAAGCTAAACACCTGACTATGGCCAAGTACATTCTAAAAACGGCCCAAACGTAAACTGTTTTCATGCATGCCAACAGCGGTCTGCTCCCGTAACATGAACCACAGCTATGCCCGAGGGTACTGACACGACCATTACCCTATGTTTTTACAATCAGCCTTCAATGCTACAATAAACAGTCCGGGATCAATACGGTCTGCTTCAGGGGCGTTATACGACGCGCTGCTGTCATCGGTGACGAGAACCGAACCGGGTTGTCGCCAGTTGGTGGTGGTCGGGGGTTCGTCAATGGGCCCGCAGTCGCTAACCCAGTGCTGGAAAATTACCGGCCGGGAGGGCTGAGTAGGTCATTGCCTGAACTGCTGACAGCAGTTACAAATTCTTAGACTTCTGAAATGTATGTTTTCTTATCTATTGTTGATGTTATAGCGTGCCTGCCTTAATAGTGCTTCGGTAGAGGCTAGTACATGGCTTGTAAATACCATGTCCTATTACTCTAATAATGCGGTTTTTGATGCTACAATTGCATACAGGCTGCCAACAACAGGCTGTAACAAAAAGGTGCTTAATGGGTCATGCGACTTTCAGGAATGTAAACTTGATCAATATATTTTCCTTTTGGAAATCTTTAGACGGATGAGTGAAACCTATTGGCTTCTTACATAGGTCTACTAATCACACGATTCTTTTTTAACCGCTGCATAGGAAGTGAACAATTATCTTCGGACATCCAGGTTCCCTGTCCCGCTGCCCGCCGAAGAACTGCGTTATCTGTCTCACTGTCGGCCGAGGAACCTTATCATCGCCTTCACCTGTCCCGCTATCCGCCGGGGAACCGTCTTCACCTACCTGTCAAATTGTCCGCAGAGGAATCGTGTTACTTGTCTTTACCTGTCCCATCCTCCGCCGAGGAACCGTCTTACCGTTTTCACCTGTTCCACTGTCCGCTGAGGAACCGTGTTACCGTCTTCACCTGCCCCGCTGTTCATCGAGGAACCGTCCTTATCTACCTGTCAAATTGTCCGCCGAAAAATCGTGTTACCGTCTTTACCTGTCCCACTGTCCGCCGAGGACCCGTCTTAGCGTTTTCACCTGTCCCACTGTTCACCGAGGAACCGTATTAATTATTACCGTCTTCACTTGTCCCGCTGTCCTCCGAAGGACCGTGTTGCCGTCTTCACCCATCCCACTGTTCATCGAGGAACCATCTTCACCTGTCCCATTGTCCGTCGAGGAACCATGCTGCCGTCTTCATTTGTCCTACTGTCTGCCGAGGAACCGTCTTCACCTGTCGATCTGACCGCTGAAGAACCGTCTATCCTGTCGATCTGACCGCTGAGGAACTGTTATCAACTGTCGAGCTGAACGAATAAGAAGCCGTTCTCATCGTGTTCCTTATCGATCTGAAGGAGTGAGGAAGGGACCGTCCCTATCCTTTCACCATCGATCTGACCGACAAAAGGGGTAAGGATTCGTCCATCGTGCCGTGGCTGAACTGAAAGGAGCTTTGCCTTGCTCACCGTGACCACCAAAAGCGCCCCAAGACCAAAGCGTGACCACTCTTACCTGTTGTAGGTCCCTGGAGCTCATCCAATAATAACGGAGCCTCTCGATACCAGTTAATACCAGTTTGCACCGGAGCTGCACAGCTCGCCTTACCAGTTTTTACTGGTTTGCAGCGCTGTCAACAATGCTGTGTTTATCGAGCTGCTAAGTCGTGCCCTTCCCGCGGCCTCCCCAACTGCGGATAAGAGTGCACACACACTCGGTACGCCAGAACTCTGTGCTGGTGCGCTAGACCCGTCGCCCACTGACCCTTTGTCCGACGAGGCCGGTGCCCGAGGCGAGATCCATGACCTGCAGCTGATCGCGGGCGACGACGCCGTCGGCAGGATACAGATGAAGCACGGCCTCTGCCACCAGCCGCGGCGCGTCGAAGTCGTTACTGACGAAATACTGAAACGAGCGCGTCGAAGTCGTTATATGACAAATCATCTACTGAAAGTTGAAACGGACACGGTACACACTACTTACACAGTTGTCAGCAGTCAGACAGGCATGTCTTGATGTTCCGCGCCACGCCGGGGGAGTCCTGCACCATAGCAGCTTTTCTACGCCAAGAGCATGGTGGTTACACGTACAATCATAAGGTGCCCTGACACTTGCACGACTTTTGGTCACGATTTTGTCGTGGCAAGCCGTGCCATTTTCGTGCACGAACTGGGATGGCTCCCGCACTGTTCACGACTAGTGCACGACCAGTTCACGACGATTTCACGAATGATTCACGAATGCGTGCCCATCAGTGTCCACATTGGCACAAACTGGTACGACGAGTTCACGCATACTTTCCGCATAGTTTGCGCATAGTTTACGCACTTTACGCATTGGCACGACAAGTTTGCGCAATTTGTGCCGACTTAGGCATGCCATATAAAAATGGGACCTCCCATTCACTAATGTAAGGCTGTAAGCTCCGTGTCCTGGTAAGACCCATCGTGACCTCCAGTGACACAAATGTCCTGACCGTGCCTAATGTGACCAGTTTGACCTGGACTGACCTATCGTGACCTTGGCTGACCTCTGCGACCTGGCGTGACCCATCGTGACCTCATGGTGACCTCTGTGACCTAACCTGACACCGTGTGACCTAATTTGACTTCTGTGACCTAACATGAGCCCGTGTGACCTAGTTTGACCTCTTTGACCTGAAATGACCCGTTAAATACATTTTCGGTCATTACTTCCCATCTAGGCGTCCAATCGACTCGGGAAAAACACCAAACAATCCCAAATTTCGCGCTGCGAAGCAAGCCGAGATCCACACATTGGCACCGGCTGGTATGTATGTACGACGAGTTCACGAATACTTTTCGCATAGTTTGCGCATAGTTTACGCACTTCCCGCACCGTCCCGACGAGTTCACGACGAGTTCACGAACAGTTTGCGCATAGTTCACGATCCGGTTGCGAAATTTTGTCGTGACCAAAACTTTGAACATTTCAAAGTTTTTGCCCCGGCGTGGCACGAAGTCACGACGAGTTAACGCACACTTCACGTCAGTTCACAACTAGTTTGCGCACGGGCACGATTCGATTCGTGCCAATGCGTGCCACAAAATCGTGCAAGTGTCAGGGCCCCTATAGATTCATAGAGTTGCCCCTCTTTACTTCTGCGACAATATCGTCGCAACGCGAAGAGATAGAGAGACGAAACTTTGCACACATCTTATTGAATACCTAGCCGAGGTTGTGGCCAAATTTGGTGTCGATCCAATTCGAAATGACGTCACAGTGACGTCAGAAGTCAAATTATAGATTTATAGATCTGCGACTCTTAGTTTCCTCACGATATATCCGATATATCAGACTGAATATAAAGGACGGATTATTGGTCAGGAACTAGTTGGAAGTGTACTTAGATGTGTTAGGATGACAGCAGGTGACTGTCTATGTAGTTCATTTACAGTTGAGTTTCATGCTCAGCGACGTCAGAAACGGTCCATATCGGAAAACGACAAAACTTTATGACGTCACTGTGACGTGATCTTAAAAGCTACAACCACCAAACTTTCCTCAAACATTGCCTGGGTATTCATTTGAAGCTGTGCCAAGTTTCACGTTCGTAGCTTATCAGGTTTCGGAGATATTTTACAAAACGTAAAGGGGGGCAACTTTATGCCCCCCCCCCAGGCGGCTCGAGAGCCACGACATTATACCTTTGGCATCATCGTGTTCCTCTCAGTGGCGCGGGAACCGGGGGGGCTAGGGGGGGCTGAGCCCCCCCAGCTTTTCGGCTAGGGGGGCTCGTAATGTAGGGGAAAGTGGGTGTATTGCGCCCTCCGAACCAATTGCGCCCGCCCACATTCCCACGAATTCAATGGCATGTTAAGTATTTTGTTTTCGAAAACATTATTTTCACCACTGGTAAGTTCCTTTTATGGCCCAAGCTCTCCGATGAAGCCAATCAGCAAGGCTCATTACGCCATCAAAGATATTACGGCGTTTTCTTAACTTTTTTGCAGCATTTTGAACCGTTGGCTATAAAAATAGGCGATACATGTGTGATTTTGAGAGTGATATTTGGAAAGAAAAATCTTCTTTTCATTATATTTCACTGAAACAGTAAACATCCTTCAGCATCTTTATCGTAACTTCTACGCTTTTATTAAAAAGTACCTCAATTTTAATTGCGCCCATGGCAATTGCGCCAGGGGGGCGCAAATAGAATAATGGTGTAGCTATTGTATCACGACAGTATGAATGCACCATTAACTGATTGCAATAAAGAAGGAGTTTTATGTCAGACAGGGGAGCAACCCGCCATCGTCAGTCCAAAACTTATTTCTCTCATCGAACTTATAATGTAGCTGCCATTTGGGCTATGAACTTGCGGTGTAATTGACAAAATACGGCATTTTTAACATGGACACAGGCGTGAGAGGTGACAGCTATGATACATAGTAAAAACTGATGTCAAAAAAGTTGTAGAAGCAATAAAAAATATTAATTTTGAGAGAAACGATTGAAAATATAACCGTCTAGGCGAATACGTTCATATATATCTAGTCGGCTACATCAAACGTTTTTGTTCCACTTCACAAGCATACCTACCGGACACAAGTCAAGTTAATTACCTGCGCAAAAAAAAACATCGCAATTTATATCTACATTTATTATGTATCGAGCTTGATTCACATAATACATGTTCAAGTAAGCCACAATGGCATAGAATGCCGGAGTGTATGCATTCCGTCTCCTTTGCTTAGCCATGTTAAAGGAGGGCGCAATTGGATTCTAATTGCGCCATCCCCCTGGCGCAATTTACAGCAGTTGTTGGTAAATGCGCCCTTTTGCATGTTTCTGAAAAGCAGCTGTCAGAAGCAAACGAAACATTCTTAATTGATCGGGAGGCTCTTAAATCGTAGCCAATGAGTTCCTCTTTAACATGGTTACCAGTGCATGCTTACATCTCCAGTGGTTTTCTTACAATTAGCGTTTTTCCTTAAGGTGGCGCAATTCACCCTCCTTCCCCTATTTGAGCCCCCCAGCTGGAGGAATCGAAATCGGAAATCTACCAACATAATATCATAGATTCATACATAGGCGTGGGAACCGGGGGAGGGGGCAGTGGGGGAAGCTTGCCCCCACAACTCTGCGGCCGTGGGGGCGGTGCCCCACAACGTTTCATGAGGCCAGGAACCGTTGGGCAGCTTGTCCTCCCCAAATTAGGGGTTGTGGGTCACAAAGGAAGAAAGCATGTAAGTGAAAAATCCACCTATTTCACTGGCTCGGCAACTGATTTGGCAGATTAAAACCTTTACTCCAGGTTGCCAAAACGGTAGTTTCTTCACTCAGCTGAGACGGAATACCTCAGTTTTTGAAAAATTTTTCGTTTTTTTTTGTTGTTGGAAAGGCCAATGTCTGAAAAATAAGTGGCCTAAAACCGGTGAGAAAACTAGATTTGGGGGTACCCTAGGTTGATTTCTATTATGGTTCAGCCCCCCCAGTCTGGAGGAAGTTCCCGCGCCACTGGTTCCTCTCGTCGAGACACGTCGATTTTTTTACCTTGAAAGGTCATTTTGAAATGCTGACCTCAGGTCAAGGTCATGACCTGACCGGAAAGGGTCATGCTGCATATCAGTCGATTCGTATCGTCGAGCTGAATACATCTGACGTGTTTTCACCTCTAACACGTCTCTATCAAAAGTTATAGTCAAAAACTGCTGGTGACCGTTCATGACCTGAGATGACCTCAGGGCTCAGGGAGACACAGAGGAATCACAGGTGCATTTTTCCGATTCAGTGTGTCATATTTACCTATGAACCGATGTTTGAGAGCGTTTTACGACATTCGTCCAAAAGAGGTGCATTTCGATTTTCGCCCTGTGTATTTTGAGTCCTTCCATGCAAAGCAACTGCATCTAGCTTAGAAGCTGAGCTCTTGAAAGCGATTGCCGTAGTTAAATGTTTTGAGTCAAAATTATCCAAACATGACGACTGACGTCATTCTGACGTCATTTACGGCCGACCTATGGTAACTACGAAATTTGTATTTGGATGCAAGGTGTCAAATTAATGCAGCCGAAGGGCACTGTCATTTTCATCTTAATACGCCCAGCGGTTTAGAAGATAAGTGCAGAAAAAACGAGAGGGAGGCTCTGTAGAGCCCCCCAGTCGTACGCGGCGTCGGGGATGTGAATGACGAACATGATAACATAAAATATGTCGTTTTCTAAAATGAACGGATTTTACTGTTGCTGATATTGATGGGAGATTTCGATTAGAGTTAGATTCTACACAATGTGCTCATGTATAGAAAGAGCGAATGGTGGTGCCAAACACTCAGCACTTTAGGCTGTTTTTGCAGCCAAACGGCGGCGCGTGCCGTGCGGGTTGCCTACCTCACAGTGACAGAGCTAGCGGAGTTTCTGCAGCCGCAGTCCCGCTGCATAGTTTTCCGTGAGGGACAAAATCATAGGTGATTAGCTCCCGCCCTCAGTGGTACGGGGTTTCATTTTAGGTGCCTGAACTGATATTATTTCTCGCTGAGCTTATCAACAACATCGAATGCATGATATCATTCAGCGGTTGCAGAAAGAACCAATGTTCCCGAATCCCGTCGGAGGTCAATAAATCAACCCACTTGATTGTATTATTAGCAAAGCTGCCTCACATGCCTAATAAGTCCCGTGTGTAGCCGCTCAGAGACTCACCTGTTCGTATGTGTCGGCGGTCTGGTCGTACTGCTGCAGCACCTCCTCGAAGCTGCCGCAGTGGATCAGCTGGTGGACCAGCTCCTTCTCTCCAGCCACCTCCTGCGCGCCGCTGGTCGACATCTCGAGCTCCTCGGGTCAGGTCGGGGAGGCGCTGAACCGGACCGGGGACTGCCGACGGCTCGAGTGGTGCGCGGGGGCACGCCCGGTCCCGTTTGTACCCGGCTGACCGGGGGTGGGGGCGGGAGGACACGAGGCGCCCGGATGACGGCGCATCTGGGCCACACCAGCCAGCCGACTCTGGTGGTCTGGTGTGGCCGGTTATAAAGCTGACCGTGAGGTGGGTGTGGGGTGCAGAGCCACTTACTAATAAACAAGGCAGTGTGGCTATTTAAATCTTGTGGAATGTTACAAGCAGTACATAATAAAAAATTCTTTTGTTTTGTTTTGTAATTATGAGCATAATTTGTAAATTATCGAGAGCTAGATTTCATAGAACAAACCTTGAATCTGTGAATTGATGTTTTTGAGCAGAGTTTTGGAAAGGTCAACGAGCGAAAAAATTTCCAGTAAGCACCGGTGTAGGGCATGACTTTGACCCTTGCAAGTTGCAATGTCGACTCCCTCCATTACCGCAAACCATCCAATTCGAGAACCTCATGTACCTAAAGAGTTCCACGAAGCGACTCGAAACCAGGCTCTTTCTCAATCTCACCACTGCACCGGGTGCCTACTGCTACTACTATATGTACATAAAGTGGCGGATTAGGTGCCTTCAAACGGAAGAAATGCTTAGGTACGATGCAATATAAATCCACTTAAAAAACTTTGTGGTATAAATGAAACACCAGTGGCTTTCACTCGCTAGCGTCGTTCCGTATGTGAGACCTGTCAGACAATGGTTTGTGTCGTCACCTTCCGCATACCACCTGCAGCACAACCAGTGGATTTATTTTGCCACTTCACAAACGATATGTTACGAAGCCACATCGTCAACAAAAAGGCATCTGCCCAAAACAAAACAATGGCTCTGTCAACAAACACTGAAAAGAACCTTAGAAGCCAGCAGCAAAGAACGCTAGAGGGTGGGGTCGCCGCGCGGGAGTTCGAGGAAAGCAGGGGTCGCAGGGGTCTCAGAGCAGGGTATGACGAAACAGCACTGCACTCAGCATAACGGCAGGGGTCGTGGGGGATGCGTTGATGAATTAGCACTACGCTCAGCACGGTTGACGCCTGACGACATCTCGGGGAACTGGGTGGTCTACCCTGGCGGGAAAGTGGGACCTGGCTCGACCGTCTAACTATGACGGACAGCATCATTCATCCCACATTTGTCTCCTAAGTCCTACCTCGAGATGGTCGCCCAACGCCGTAAAACCGGTCCGCGTATAGTGACTTAGTGAGTTTGTTCAGTGACGTTTGTCGCTGCAGAATTCTTATCTCCATTATTCTGTGCTTCTTCGTCACCTTCCAGCTGCTGACCCGTTTCGTCCGGTGTCTGCTGTTGCTGCTCTTGGTTTTCAAGCTGTTTCGTCTGCTTTTCCTGTTCTTGTCCCTGCTGTTGATCCTGCTCTTGTTGCTCGTGCTGCTGTATATCCATTTTCTCCTCGACCGCCGATCCCTGCGCGGTGACCTGACCGCTCTCCGAGGTCACGCTGCTCTGCGAGGTCACGCTGACCTCTGACGTCACGCTGACCTCAGAGCGGGTCATCTGGGAGGTCCGAGCTCGGGAGCGTCGCTCCCTCTCTGCCCAGTCCCACTCGGCCGTCCACTCGTTCTCCGAACGCTCCCGGACCTGCTGGGACGACAGTCGCTCAGATAAGTTCATGCATCGTGAAATTATAAAAAAAAAACTGTGGAACAATGGAAAAACCACCAGCCACTGCATGCTTTCTTAAAATTGGCCTAGAATTTCCCGTTCGCATTTGCACAGGGCTAATAAGTACGAGGGCATCATAGATGACTCTTTTCACGTCGTGATGGTCATGGCATACCTATTACCTACAATCTACATAAACGTAACACGCAAAATGTTCACCTGAATTTCCGTTTCTTTGATCTCCACTTGTTTTCCGGGATCCTGCATGGGGAAGCTGGGAGCGCTGGACTGCGGCGGCTGCTCCTCAGGCGGCTCCGGCTCCGGCTCCGGCTCCGGAGTCGATGGGGGCTCGGTGGGCTCTGCCCAGTCAGTTGGCTCCAGGGCGGGCAGCTCGGCGGACTGGTGCCGGCGGCGAGCCGCAGCAGGCGACCCATCTGAAAAAAACGAACCATCCAGTCGGTACAGTTGAATCGCGTCAAAAAGATAAGCCTTGTGTTAAATTTGTCGTCAAAATGGAGCCGGTGGCGTGTATTGTTACGTGAAAGCTCAATTTACATATAGCGACACGGCATTATAGCGGCATTAAAGATATAGCGGCACGGCATTACACACACCTACAGTGTCGTTTCGATGCTGAAAATTCAAGTAAACCTTTCAGGGTCGCTCCATATGTGGCATGGATATGACAGCTCAATTAATTTTAGCCAAACTTCAGCAAATATCCCATCACAAAGAAAATCCGTACGCGTCTATAGCTCCTAGTAAGTACTGTGTCTTGATCTGTGCAGTGCGCATCCAGCCCTGCGAGCTCGTTACCTGGCGTGTGCCGCGTCTCGGGCTCGGAGCAGCGGCGGCTCGGAGGGCCCTGCGCCTGGTGGCGGTGCTCAGCCTCGCGCTCCCACACCTGAAGCATCAGCTGACGGCGGGCGGTGCGGCGGGCCTCCTCGGCCTCGGCATCCTCAGCGGCCTCCTGGCCGGGGTCAGAGGTCAGCCATGGGTTAGGGGTCAGCATCCTCAGCCGCCTCCTGGGCGGGGTCAGAGGTCAGCCGTGGGTTAGGGGTCAGCATCCTTAGCCGCATCCTGGCCGGGGTCAGAGGTCAGCCAGGGCACGGGGGTCAGCCCGGGGTCAGCGGGTCGAACAGCGGCCGTTAGAGGATATTTGTTTGGTTGGCATGAAGGCAAGGTCGTTTGGATTAAAGAGGTGATGTGTGCGCCATGAATTGATGAGGGTCTGAAAGATATCGCGGCTGACCTACTATGCGTTTCAGACCCTGTGGAACAATCCTTTTCGGCTATTTCTCGTTGTATATGCGTTTGATTTTAACCAAACTTTGGCATTGGTAGTTTGAGATCCCTACCTAATTTTTATCAATATGGTCTATTAACGAAAAATGAAAAATAAAGGCACTTGTCATTGACTGATAATGTTAAGGTCGTCAGAGCCCTGCTTAGAGGCTGACACAGGCTGGACGCTGTCTCCCCTCTGATTGGTCGAGACGCACTAGCACACTGCGGCTTGGCTCCGCCCACTTGCGGTCCAGCCTCGGGTCATGTCGGCGGCAGTCGCAGTCCGGCCGGCCGGCGTGCGGGCCGCGCACGCAGCGCAGCGGAGTGGAGCACTTGTTTGCATGTCATGAACTTTTAATAAGTTGTTCTACGACAAATAAGGACGGAGGAAGAAAGAGAAAGGAAAAGGAGACAAAGTGACAATGAGACGAACGGTAAACGTTGGCTAGTGGACAACAAACAATATGCATATAGCCGCTAGAGCAGAGACAGGAGACAAAGACGATAGACCAGAGACAAGTGACGAAGATAGAGATTAGGCTATAGACGAGAGACAATATACTATAAACGTATAGACGAGAGACTGACAAGGGAGAGTGAAGGACGGGAGATCATGAACTCTCGATATTGCATATCTACATTTTCAGATTGAGTCATCCTATATTTTTCCCTGTTTTATTGTTTTTCGGGCCTAAGATCCAGGGGCGCCGCCACGGATTTTTGACTGGGGGGGACGGACTGACCGACTGAAAACCCAAAAGTAGACATTCTTACCGTGGCTTTTTCGGTCGGATGCATTCAACGTTTAAAGCAAATATGCCACTTTTAACATAGGGTTTTGAACTGAAGTAACAGTTTTGTAGCTTGAGCTGAGACGAGAACAAATCAGGAGCTTTTATGGCCCAACGATCACCCTAGCCAAATATATCGGTATCGATTTTAGGTTTGAAGACTGAAGTCATTCCCATTTCCCATAGATAACACTTTGTCATTCTCTTACCGAGGAATCCATTCCCTTACGGAAAAATGTTAGCCAATCAGCATTCAGCTGGTTTGAACTACGTACTATGCTTGGTCAACGCGTAATCAGCTTCCGCTGCAATATAGGTAAGTAGCCTCTACGAAAGATGGAAAATAGTGATGTAAAAATAAATAAAAAATCCTTTTGCAAATATTCATTATTTCCTGACCATTTTAAGCTTAAAAGCTCATAAAACTGTGGCGGCAAAACAACTGGTTTGAGGAAAGTAGTTTAGGTTATGTATTTCCTTAAAGTAATGGCTATAGACCGCATTCCCACCGAGTATCTACCTATATACACATCTGATGTCCGAATCAGTTTGACACGGCAAAGCCTCGTGTTCTATCACGGTATAATTGCTGATGTATGCCACTAATATGATCGATAACGCATATTGCATAGGTAATGCATATTGCATACCCGCGTGGGGGAGGGGGCGTTGTATAGTCACAAATCTCTCTTTTTGGTTTGTGCACGAATCGGCGCGACGCCGCGAAAATTGGCAAAAAACACTAGGCAAAAACACTAGGCTAAAAACACTGGTCGGGTTCATCCCAAGTGGCTCACTGGGGTGGCTGCCCCGACCAATGTCTCCCACTAATTCTTTCATACTTGCGGCTCTGAAATGGTCTCATTGGACCGAAGGGCCTAATCAAATTTCGAGTAGGATAACAACCAGTAAAAGGCCTTTTGGGGCGACCAACGGAGCGAGCGAGAGGGTGGGGTGGGCCTTGCACGTGCGAAATTGCGAGGGGATACCTCTAACTAACTTGTGCACTGCACCCTTCTAACTGGTCCCTCACGATGTGCCAAATTTGAGCGCAATCAGCCTAGCCGTTCTCGAGATCTATAAGCGGCACCCTGCACGTGCGCACGTGCAAAATGGGTCCCAACTAGAGATGTCAATCGGATACCAACTTTTTGGTATACCGATACCAAACCGATACCAACTTGGTATTTGGTATTTTAATCCTTAAGTGTTTGGTATTTTGTTGGTATCATGAACCCTCCCTAATGTATAAAAGGCTAAGAAATCGGTAAAAAGTTGGTATTTCCCTCATGTTCCCAAGTTGGTTTGGTTTCGGTATTTCCCCGCGGTTTTGGTAGGCATTTGGTTTGGTTTCGGTATTCCGATTTTCCGTAATTGACATCACTAGTCCCAACTGACTTTTGCACGGCACCCTACTAACCGGTCCCTAACCATGTATCAGATTTCAGCACAATCGGTTCAGCCGTTCTCGAGATCTGGAATCGACCCTTGCATGTGCGCACGTGCAGCAGCACCCCAATTGTGGCACATGGATATGCATTGCCTAGTGGGTATACCTACCTACATGCCAACTTTCAGCGCAATCGGCCCAGTAGTTGCCGAGATATTGAAATTGTTACAAAACTGACACCTCTTCGTTTTTCACGTGGCACGTGCATATGGGGTCACTCACATGCATCGGGAATAGTCCGATGCTCGTTAGAAGGAATGAATCTAGTGCCACCCTACAAAAATTATCGCATGTAAATCGGTGAAGTGGTTGCTGAGATATAAGCCTAGCAAAAGCGTGACCACGGCATACTCAGAAATTTCCGTTAACCTACGAAAGACTACGCTCGCTTCGCTCGCTCCGTAATGAGTTTGGGGGGGACGTCCCCCTTCCATTCTGAGAGTGGGGGGGACGCGTCCCCCCCGTCCCCCCCGGTGGCGGCGCCCATGCTAAGATCTATCAACAACATTCTGAAAGCATTGTGGAAATGTCATAGAAAGATTTACCTATTATTTTCACCCCCCCCAAAAAAAAAATATTCTTTTAAACAAAAAAAAAAAAACGAAATAGGGGAGAGCGGGGAGAGTTGTATCATGTCCAAGTTGTATCAGGGCGAATTGTGCCAAACTTATCCGATGGATGGCGCTCGCGACACGACCAGCCGACGAGGTTTTCTGGGCGCCATCTTTCCCTGTTCTGTCTTGTGGCTGAGTGGACGCGTCTCGAGGTGAGAGCCGATTTTATGTTTTTTTAATGTCATTCTAAAAAAATAAGTTGCAAGAAAATGTGTGTTCTGGGCATTTAGATGTGCACGAATTTGAAAGATCTCCGTAGCGGTGGTGAGGGTAGGTTCTAAGGCTGCGTGAGCCAAAACGGATTTCTCCAGCTGTCCGCTGTTTTTTTTAGCACGAGGATGTTTTTTCCAAGATGGCGGCTAGGTACATGTTGTATCAGAGCCGGGTGGGGTATGTTGTAACATGTATGTATGTATGTATGTATGTATGTATGGGTATGTTGCTTTTGATCGCGAAAGCTAAGCCCTGACTCGCGTTTGTAGGTAGCAAGTCAATGCTCGTTCCATTTCGGCACAATGTGTTGACTTCTTTGCTCTTAACGGGCCACTTTTGCGTCTAGTCTGTTGATGTTTCGTTCGGATTGCATTGACCTAAGTTTGGTCTAATAAAGTGAAGCCTTTGAGCGTACCTATACATTGTATTAACCCCATTTAATGTTGTTGTTATGTTCAAAACCAGTAGCAAGCACACTCCCTAAAACGTGAAATAGTGATACAAATTACCCCACCATGTGATACAACTCACCCAAGCCATGGGGCAAGTTGTATCAAAAACATTGTTCTATTCGGGAGACCGTAGAAGAAAAACCGGTAGAGGTAGCGGAAAAGTTACTTTGCACAAAAAAGCAGAAGAATCAAGGAAGGGGATGGTATGGAAATAATGAGTTTATCACGGATAGTTACGAGGTTATGGGTCTCGGAGTAAAAAATGATACAACCCACCCCACTCTCCCCTACCTACAAGTATCTATGTGGATATCTTCAATCAAATAAGGCCGTTGAATGCAAACACAGTCCGGTGAATTCTGTCCCGTTACTCCTTAAATGTACAATAGCCTGTAGGAAAACGGCTGCGGAGAGGCTCGCTATAAATTATTGAAAATAAGATTAGGTATTTTAAGTCTGCATAGGGAATAACATTCTGTAGCTAGGAGTGCTAATTGTTTTATACATACACCGTCGCGATCTGCATTGAATTCTTCATCCTTATTCTCTCCGCGCGAGATACGACATTTGCAATATTCACGCAATGATGCCTGCGTTAGCGTGTGTCTCGTTCCAGTCCGTCAGAGCTCCGCACCGCTCTGACCCCGAGCGGCGAATGACCGGTCCCGGTGTCGCGGCACAGTGGGTGGAGCTTAGCTGCAGCGCAACAGCTGACGCTGCAACGCCATGCTAGCCTCTACCACGGTGCAGAGTTTTCCGATCAATTTTTACCATTACAAGTCAACGACAAGTGCCTTTCATTTTGACATTTTGTTAAAAGACCATATTAGTAAAAATTAGGTAGGCCCTTGAAACACATTGTGTCAAAGTTTGGTTGAAATCAAGCGTATAGGTAACGAGAAAGGGCCAAAAAGGACTGTTCCAGAGGGTCTGAAATGCGTAGTAGTTGGGTGTCATTCAACCGTATAATAAATTTTCCATTCTTCCATTCTTCCAGCATTCCATTTCTACATTTTCCCTGCTAACTGCATGTCAAAAGACATACAGTTTTTTGTACGGTTAGATAGCTTGCCTTTCAACCCCTCAGATGAATCGCCAATCCTTTTTAGGAAACGCTTCCTATAACCCGACAACCATTCTACGAAAATGCAAGGACGACATCAAACTAGATATCGTCATAATGTGTTTCACTTCCTATAACAGTTATTCGAGACGTGTAAACATGTAAATGTTATGCCACGTGTGCCAAACGGGCACAAAGTGCAAAGTAATGCAGGAAGTGCTGAGACTAGCAGCTATTTTTGTGTACACAAAAGCAAATCGTAAGCATTGACCATCTGCATTTGTCCGCCAAACAAATAACTGCTCAGGCGACCCCTTTGGCCCTCTGCAGATCATGGCGGGCTGCTTCCTCCGTTTATAGAGTCAACTACACCGTGTACATACATACAGTGTGGTGGAGGGAGGGGCTTCAAATGTTTGTAGAGCTAGCTGTAGGTATACTGAAGGGGCGAGCTGCTTATACCGTTTGTAGGATGTTCTGTAGACTGTACATACTGTGTGGGGCGGGCTCCCACCGTTTGTAGGGCGCGCTGCACGAGCAGCTCCTCTGAAGCGGACAGCTGCAGCTGGGAGCGAGCTGTCGGCGACAGCAGCGCCGACTGGCGGCGGAGCAGAGACAGAAGCCTCCGCCACCGACTGCCCGACCTGCCAACCGACCGCAGCGTGTCAACACGCGGCGCATAGCCTCTACACGGGACTGACACTCTAGGACCAAAGCTCCTCCGTGTAACTCTTCAGTGCGTAGCGCTAAAAGCGTTTAGATTAAAAACGAGAGGCAAAAAAGATGGAGGGGTTGCCTTGCGTTCAGCAAGACTAGCCAGCAATCGATCGTTGTCAAGTAGGTAATGCAAAACTGACCGGATCCAGCAAAAAGTAATCGCAAAATACGACTTATATAGATGTTCTTACTTGAGCTGTGAATCAAGCCACTTATTGACTTCAGCGTCGGCATTATCCTTATCTTCCGTCTCGTCCGCAACCGGGACATCTCGCGGAATCGCTGCTGTAATAATGCGGATCACTCTTCACACATATAGATTGCATTTACGTCCTACCATTAAATAATAAATGATGATATGTTTCGGGTTTGTTGAGTTTGCAAAGTTGTAAGTTGCAACGAGATCGAAATTAAGGATTATTACCTATGCTTGGTTATCACAAAGCGACGTGTACTTCCTAATGTTTTAGCAATGATGAATGTACAATTTCGTTAAATTATTCGCTAGAAGAGCCAATTAATTGCAACTTGAAAACAGGAATAAAGCAATAAAAAGGCACATACGATTCGTAAGCGAGTGAACACTTCTGGACACTATTGGTCAACTATTGGACAATGGACGTCATCCGACCTCTCACGGATCCAGAAGTCGCTCTCGGAGGATCGTTCGTCAGTTCCGGTAAAATTGGCCGCCGTCCGACTGTCGGAGTGACGTCATCCTCGTCGCAGGTGTCATAGAGTAGGTGCTGGACGAGCCGCTCGTGTCGTCGCTAAGAAAACGTTTTTTTTTAGTAAGAAAAAAGACGTTTTATGAGGACATCGTGAAATTAGAAGTCTCTAGCATAGCAGAGTAGGATTTGGTGAACCTAGCTTTTAATATTATACTTAAGTACTCATACATACATACATATTTGCATTAGGAACCCTTAGTTGATTTAGAATCAACTTGATTAGGAGCAATTAGGAACCATAGTTGAACGTAGGTAATACATAAGGAGACGTTTGTGCAACTGCTGCGTTTATCCCCACCTTTGCGGCCCGGAGTCTGTCGGTGCGCGCTGCCGTCTCCGCCGAGCGCTGGCCGATCCGCTGCACGGCGCTCAGGATCCGCGCGTTCCGCCGTGACCGCCATAGCGGCTCGGCAGGGTCACCGATCGGTGGGCCGTGCTCCGCGGCTGTCCTGGGACGCAGACAGGCGCGGAGTAGGCTCAGAGGAAAGGAGAGTATCGACAAGCAGAGGCGGCACGGTTCGCTCTCCGCCGTAACGCACGCGTTCAGTGTGGAGATGCTGTGCCGCACGACAGTGGTGCGCTGCGGCACAGTCTACCCTCGTAGGTGACAGGCGTGGAACGGTGTATTCGGCTTTCACCGTTTATATGTAAGCCCCGCGCTGCGAAGCAAAACTAACGTATCAACTTGCAATGCAGTTGTGACTATGCAGCAAGTAAGTGAATGCATAAGCACTTACCCAGGTACGCAGATTGTCATAACAAATAAGCACCACGCGACCGGTTAGCCATCAACAGTCATGATCCCATACTTACTGAGTCGAGTAGTCATATGAATGGTCGAGCATCGTCATTGCTGTTCTTCTTCTTCTTCGATCTATTATCTTTCACGAACTGCCATACCTGGCAAACACAGAACAGAAGGCCAAAAGCCGATGCCTAAATTCATTCACAAACAATGTGCTATTTTACTTTGAATCAAACGATTAACACTAGAAACTAGGAATATCATGGAGCGTCTTTTGTTTGCTTTGCTTCATCTAAGCATAATTAATCGCTGAAACATTTTTACCCGAGGCTCCCTATTGGCTATTGCAAGCTAAGCCCAACCACATTTGCAAGTTAGCAATCACCCGCCCGTTTTGAGCACACAATTGGTAGGTCCGACCACGCCCACCGCGTTAGCTGGGTGGGCCCTCACAGTCGTCAGTCACTCACCTGTTTCATGCAGTCGTGTCGCAGACTGACCCGGTCCGCCGCCGACGGCCTACCCTGCGTCCTTACCATTGCCATGGCAACGGATGCCCCCCCCCCGGCCCCTGCAGGTGACCGACCGCGCCCCGTCGGCCGACCGGCCCAGTCCGCACACCAGTATTGACAATGCACGGGCGACACGGCGAGGCCCGAGGTTCACATTGATTAGGCTGACCCAACTCTGACGTTGCCTCAAATTAAACGACTACGCGGCCTAAATATTTCACATATCAGTTTTCGAAAGAGAAAAGAAAGTCATCATTTTAACGCAGTGTTTTTCTTGCAATGTTGAATTATATCTGATCCTTTAATGATTTAATGTGTATACTATTTACTGAATCGCAGCGATACTGATCAGGTCTGTATGCATACTAGACAGTGCCGTGGAGATGTCTATTAGCCCCAATCCCGCCCTGACCATTAATCTGACTGTTGCTTCTATTCATTAAGGCATGTATTTAAATTTAATACATGTTTGCACATCATCCTTTTTCTGATTTAGGTATCCATTATGATTTAGGTATTTAGGTTCGGTGCCTTATTCTATGCCACGTTACAATTTACGATGGGTATTCAGCAGTACTTAACGCCTATAATCGCTCAAATATCATTTTAGGGCTGCATTACTAGGTATACGTTTACATCATCGCTTGTCGTTTTTTATCGTTCATTACCTTGTTTTGTTTTCTTTATCTTGATATGTATTTGCGTGTTTTATTCGAGTGTAGGTATGTGTGCGCGTTTTGTATGTGTCGTTATAGGTACTAGACGCCATATCCATTGCTTTTGATACCTATTGTGACACCGTCTTTTGGTGGGCAAACGCCTGTTGACAGTCTAGTGATAAAAATACACATACAAATTCGCATACATCGTGACTTTTTACTTATGAAGATGAATATGAGATGAAGAACAGGGGAAGTTAAGCGATGATTAGGTAAAAAACGGCGAAAGAAAAATATGAGACTGAGTATGCAGGACCACGAGTGCTGCTGCTGCCCAGTTGGCGGCTTCAAGATCGTCCGTGGTCATCGAAACTTGGTCTATGGGTAGGAAACTTGGTCTTGGTCTATAATCGATTTCAATCAAGATAGGCGATTTTATTGGTCATTTCGATTACGGTGACCTGACCTCAGGTGACCTCAGTGACCTTGACAGGTCAACTTTATGTTCTTGCCTATTGCTAGTTATTGGTGAGGTGAAATTGCGTCCGGCGAATCGGCAATTAGCTTTTTTGTCTCGATTGGCCCAGTAGCTTACCTTCCCACTAATTTGCTGAGTCGAGTCCTCAGTCATATGATGGCTGAAAAGGCAAAAACGTCAGTTTTTGTTTGTTTGTTTTGTTGGGTTAGGCCCTTTCGGTCCAATGAGACCATTTCAGAGCCGGAAGGATGATAGGATATGGGGGGAGACATTGGTCTGGGCAGGCACCCTAGTGAGTCGCCGGGGCTGAGCCCGTCCAGAGGACAGGCCACCCAGCCCCAAGGCACTCACTGCACCCGGCTACGGGGTGCGCTCCCTCGGGAGCAGCGGTGCCGCTCCAAGGGAGCATCCCGCATGAGATAAAGTTACCTGTCCAGCCCGGAGGGGGGTTGCGGCGTGGAGGAGAAGGATTTCAGTTTCCTGAGGATAGAAGCATGGAACGGTGAAAAAAAACGTCAGATTTACCTCTCAATGTTACTGAGGTCACCTGAGGTCACCATGTTGCAAACGGTAGATTAACCCTCGCCCGCACATGCCATTTTCCCATCCTAGAACGCACATGGGGGGGGGGTGTGGTTGCCACCCCCCGCGCCATTTCGTTCCTGTTGGAGATAGAGCTTAGCGGTAAAGACCAAAAAGATTCTTTGGGAAGAGACGAATCCAATGATACCCAGTTTTACCTTCTCAGGTCAGTCATTGACCTTCCAGGTCAGGTCAAACTAAAAAATGTTGCTGTTTTGGGTCACCGTTGGATATCAAGTGTGCTGCTTATCAAATACCGATGACGTTGCTGTTTTCTGGTGCCAAGCCAGCTAGAACCTCTTTGTCACACTACCCGACCAGAATTTTGCTGCTGAGGTCATTTCAGGTCAAGTTAGGTCAAGGTCAATTATATGTGTTTGTATGTCTGTGTGTGTCTGTGTGTTTACTGATGTGTGCACCGATTGTTTTTGGGTCCATATTACATGAAATCATGATCTGAGAAGCTTTTACCAAAAATGCAGTCAAAAAACTTCAAAAAGTAAATTCAGCTTGCCTAAAACGCAATTATCTTAGATGACCTAGGTTGACCTTGACCCTGACCAGTGGCGCGGGAACTTCTTCCAGACTGGGGGGGCTGAACCATAATAGAAATCAACCTAGAGTACCCCCAAATCTAGTTTTCTCACCGGTTTTAGGCCACTTATTTTTCAGACCTTGGCCTTTTTAAGAACAACAAAAAAAAAAAAAACACGAAAATATTTTCAAAAAGTGAGGTATTCCGTCTCAGCTGAGTGAAGAAATTACCGTTTTGGCAACCTGGAGTGAAGGTTTTAATCTGCCAAATGAGTTGCCGAGCCAGTGAAATAAGTAAATTTTTCACTTACATGCTTTCTTCCTTTGCGACCCACAACCCCTAATTTGGGGAGGACAAGCTGCCCAACGGTTCCTGGCCTCATGAAACGTTGTGGGGCACCGCCCCCACGGCCGCAGAGTTGTGGAGGCAAGCTTCCCCCACTGCCCCCTCCCCCAGTTCCCGCGCCTATGTATGAATCTATGAAATTATGTTGGTAGATTTCCGATTTCGATTCCTCCAGCTGGGGGGGGGGGGGGGCTCAAATACATTACGAGCCCCCCCAGCCGAAAAGCTGGGGGGGGGGGGGGGCTCAGCCCCCGCTAGCCCCCCCCGGTTCCCGCGCCACTGACCCTGACCTTGACCCCTGTACATCGTCGAACAACATGTTCCATGATAGGTGGGAGGTAAGACTGGCAAAAAAGGCCGAAATCAGGGTGTCAAAAGCTCATAAGGCCCATGGCAAACGCAATATGTTGAGAATTGGCCATTTGGGTCATGACATGACCTGAAAAACAAGGTCATATCTCCGAAACCAAAAATCACAGAAACTTGAAATTTTCAGTGGACATCAAGAAAGGATAGAGGAGCAGCTATACGAAAAATCAGCCTTCTAGCTCTAAAAATGTTGAGTGCAGAGCAGAAAGACTACCTGGGGGGGGGGGGTGGCAACCACCACCCCCATGTGCGGGCGAGGGTTAATACTTGGCGCTGTTCGGTCGCCGTTGGCGTTTTTCATAAGCACGCTACCAGCTTGCCGAATGCTTGCGTTTTCAGCTTTTCATTGGCTTTTCACTCAGGGAATTTGGGGCAAATGTCTCCATCACAGCGCCCGAAATCGATGAATATTTGTCGTTTTTCTAGAACAGACAGAAATGATGACTAAACTTTTATTGGGAAAAGTTCGCCCTATAAGTTAATTGCACCACAGTGCCGACTCAAAGCGTAAGGAATCGAAATCTGAAGAGTTTTTATCGTTATCTCTCGTTATTGTTAAAATAACTGACACTGAAAGCGCTTTAGATTCAAATGGTATTTTTTTCGTCTCGATCGGCGTGGTAATTGCTGGGCTAACGGATGGCCGCAAGGTGGCGGTCAAATCGAATAGTGTCGCTCACCTTTTCCGTACTGCCTGTTTGACGAACGTCACTTTGGAAGACAACTATCCCGCAGCTGATTCATTTATTTCTTGTTGAAAAAAGACGCTAGCAGCTGATGAGGTTTCACGAGCAGGATAATGCCCTATTTTGATTGCTTCTTCATGAAACGGTAAGGTACTGGCAGCAGCTGGGCAGCAGGCTATGAACATTGACTTTTACTTTTCACTACCCTCGCACAGGATAAAGAGTCTCGCCCAGCAAGGCCATCTATAGAAGGTACAGTCACTCCCCCGCCGACCAATCAGAGACAGATCCTGAGTGACGTCATCCCTGATGCTCGCAAGGGGTACTCCATTCCTTTGCAACGTAAAAATGACTAATTTCATTTGAAGATTATTGATGGCAATCTCCACATACCGCTCAACCGTTGATGTCAATAGAAAGCCCAACTAATTTTCTAGCGACAAAAAAGAGCAGCAATATGCTAAGAAATGGCCGGTTTTGAAGATATAGACGATTTAAGAACCCTCTGCAGCAGCAGGAAAGCAACGTAAAAATGCATCGAGCTTATATTTTTACTATGAATAAATCATTTTTCAGTAAGTTTTTAAATATGTTACAGATTTAAGTTACAACTTTATTACAATATTTTCATTATTTGAAACTTAATTTAAAAAAAAAATATTTTCAAAAACACTAGCTGTTGGCAAGTAGCTTGGCAGCGATTGTGGCGCACCACGCCATTAATTGTCCTGAGACCCCCTTATGATGTCATCAAAAGTGGAGTGACATGGGCCTGTCGCCCAGTCTCACCCAGGGTATATAGAACAACGTCTCACCACCCCCTGCTCAGTCGCCACGTGGTGAACGGCGTGGTTCGCGCGGATTTAGAGATTGAAGAGTTTTTTGCAGTTTCCCTTGAGTGCTAGGGTGTTTTTTACGGGATATTCTGTTCCCGACCTGTTCAGCATTTCTTTCTTTATCTAAAATAGCTTTATCTTCTCGTAAATTTGGATTCTGGTGGAATTTAGTCTCAACAGCTTTTCGTCGCATTCGTCTCACTGCCCGAGCGGCTTCCCACTATTAAAGCAAGATTCCAGGGTGAGTCTGCTTTCCCTCTTCGTTCCGTCTTCATTTTTTGTCAACTACTCTTTGGCAAGACTTGAATTTTCCTCACAATATTATCTCGTTTTTTTGGTGTCGTTCTCTCCAGCTATGCCAGCCATGTTCTCCAAGGCGGTTACCGCTACTGACGAAGGTCAGTTCCTTCCCACTGGGCCTGCTTACCTTCTTGTGAGATTTAAGGAAAAAAACAAAAGCTTTCGGAACTTCAGCCCTTACAAAATTCGAGATGAGCTCCTGGACGTGATCCATTACGCAGCTGCTAAGGTCTCTGCTCTTAGAAGCGGCTCTCTGCTCGTCAAAACAAGGGATATGTATCAGACCGAGGCTCTCCTAGCCTGGAGGTCATTCAGGGGGGAGGACATCTCTGTGATTCCAGCAGACCGCCTAAACCAGGTGGAGGGAATGGTCTATGCCCCTGAGCTATCAATGGAGTCTCCTCAAACCATACTTGAGGAAAGCCGTGACCAGGGTGTCACAAGTGTCACACGTCTCCCTTCAAAAAATTCCAGACCGAACCCACTGCTCAAGGTGAGGTTTTCCGCCACACAGCTGCCTGAACACCTTTATGCAGTCTACATGCGCTATGAAGTCAGACCATCTTACCAGCTACCTCGGCGCTGTGGCAAGTGCCAGCGTTATGGACACGGACAAGGCACATGTAGGTCTCGTGCTGAAATATGCAAACGTTGCTCGGAGGAGCATCCGTCCACAGGGTGTGTCGCCCCTCCCCGCTGTGCTGCATGCAAGGGACCGCACCCAGTGACTGACAAGAACTGTCCCGTGTGGATTGAAAAGGTGCAGGAGCTTCGCGAGGCCACACAACGCAGATCTGGACACGTGGCTGGCACCCACGGTGGGTCATCCCCCATGACCCAACCCACCACCTCCCACCACAAGGGAGTCCCACGCCATTTCGGACAAACACAGGCTCAGATATCCCAGGCTGCAAACCGCCCACAGGACTGGCCAGAGCTCCCACCCCCTCGGGATCTGCCCCATGTCGCACGTCACAAAAAGCTGACGCCACCAGCCCGCAAAGACACGAGCCCAAAGCTGACGCCACCAGCCCGCAAAGACACGAGCCCGCCAGACCACCCAAGCACCCATGCTCGGAGGCGTGCGGCCGCGACACCGGAACTCGCTCGGTCTATCGATGTGGGCTGCGCCCGGTCGACACCGACACCCGAGAAAATCCACCCTGACTCTCCCACCCTGGTAGATCAGCGAGAAACAGGCCCGCACAAAAGTGGTGGGACACGACACCAGGCCCAAACACCAGGCACCTGTGAAATGTCTCCCAGCAACGCAACTGGCGTCTCCGTAGTTACACCACTCCACCGGACTAGGGCTACAGATTCCGACGACGACACATGCTATGATGCCAATACGACGAGCGAGGACGAGGAGACCCCTAAAATGGTCGCCGTGTCTTCTGTCCTGCGATCGCCATCAGTCATTGATGACAGCGATTCCGACACTCAGCTCACCCTCCATGCAGAAGGCCCCAAAACTCGCCTCCGAGCACGCTCAACGAAGGAGAGGAAAAATGTGGGCCTTCGTACCCAGATCGTGACCAGACGATCCTTCATCCCCGAATAGCGCGCCAAACAAACTAGATAGCTGCTGCAATGGATTTCTTGCTTCAATGGAATGTAGGAGGACTTCTATCCCATTTGTCTGAATTTAAACAGTATATACAAAAGGAAGCTCCTCTTCTAGCTGCGATTCAGGAAACTCACTTTAAGAACACAGATCATTACAATTACAATGTGGCTGGATATACTTTGTACAGACAGGACATAAATCTATCAAATAGACAGGGTGGCGTAGCTCTTTATGTAGCAAATTCAGTGTCACAACGGAAAACAAATATAGCTTCCCCGCTAAATGTTGTAGCAGCTACTGTTTCACTACTAAACCGCGAGTTGTTGGTTGTTTCAGTGTATTTGCCGCCAAATGCAACTGTTGTAAACCGGCAAAATCTGAATGACCTTCTAGAGCAAATGCCAGAAAATTGCCTTCTGCTCGGCGATTTCAATGGTCATAGTCCACTATGGGGCAGCCGACACTTATCGCCGAGAGGCAGGATAATTGAAGCTGCACTAAACCGGCAGTCCCTTGTAGCTATGAACGACGGGAACCCAACGTTTGTCAGTAGTAGCTACCACACAACCTCTGCAATTGATTTGTCAATTTCTTCCCCGAGGATCGCACCGCTCTTCAGATGGACCGTAACATCGGATCCGCTGTTTTCAGACCATTATCCAATTCACATCATGCTTACCAGTGCAACCCCGCTGTCACCAGCACCGACACTGAAGGTATGGCAAACAAATAACGCGGATTGGTCGGGCTTTAACGCAAACGTCAACAGACATGCTCCCTACGGCATGTCTCAGACCATATCCAATTTTATGGGTGCTATGAAGAAATCGGCCAGTGAAACGCTAAAAGAAAAAACTATTAAGATTGGAACTGCAAATGAATCTAAAAATCTTGTCTGGTGGAACTGGAAATGCCAAAGAGCCAAAGCAATAAGAAAAAGAGCTTTCAGAAACTTCCAGAGATGCATATGTCCCAGACATGCCCAACTGTATACCGCTGCCCGTAAGGAATGTGCGGAAACTATATACAAAGAAAAGAAGGCGGCGTGGCAAAACTATGCCGCTAAATGTAATCGCTTTACCCCGCTCAGCGAAATTTGGAGTCATGTTCGTGCTTTCGCCTCACGACGATCTAATTCTGGTGCTTTTCCGCAATTGCTTTCAAACAATACCTATGTTCGTAACTGACCCAGTTACCGTCACAAATATATTTGCCAAACACTTTGCCAACACATCGTCTACAGATATTTACTCCTTGAGCGTACATCGAGCTCTCGTGAATAGAACAGTAAATCTTGATTTTTCTTCAGCAAACTCTGAACCATACAATGCTCCTTTTACCCTACGAGAACTTAAGCTATCCCTAGCAAAGGCAAGCACTAAAACTTCGGTAGGACCAGACTCCATTCCATATTCTTTCTTCACAAAATTGAACGAACTTAACCTTTCTACACTACTGATAGCATTCAACAAGCTATGGACTGAGGACAACTTCCCGGATGAATGGCTTAGAAGTATAATCATACCTATCCTCAAACCCGGCAAAGACCAGCACGACGCAAATTCGTATCGCCCAATCTCACTAACTATCTGTGTTTCCAAGATTTTCGAAAGAATGGTAAACAGGCGCCTGCGATTTTACCTTGAGAGCAACCATTGCATTGATATATGTCAAAGCGGTTTTCAGAAAAATCGTAGCACGGCAGACAATATCATTCGCCTTATCTCGGACATCCAGGTAAACTGGGAACATAGGCGACCGACTGTCGCTATTTTTCTAGACCTAATGTCAGCCTTCAACAAGGTACACAGTTCGACGATAATTTATAAGCTGCACTCAATCGGAATCAGAGGCCATTTGGCTGCGTTTCTTCGAAATTTCCTAAAACCCCGAACTTTCAAAGTTCGTTGCCAAACGACACTTTCTGACGACTTTGTAATAGAACATGGCGTCCCTCAAGGCAGCGTGCTGTCACCTACGCTGTTCTTGATTGCCCTGAACGATATGCTCCTACACCTGCCACGTGTGCTAACATTTTCTGTCCGCTATTCGCTTTTTGCTGATGATATAGCAATATGGGTATCCCACAAAAACTACAAACAGGCTTATTCTATATTGCAAATAGTGGTTGATCACTGCGTTAAATGGTGCACTAAATGGGGATTCTTTTTGTCAGCGCCCAAATCAGTCATGATGGTCTTCAAACGTGGACCCCGTCCATCGCTTGAAAGATCCCCACACATCGATGGGATTAAAATTCCTTTTTCCACGTCACACAAATTTCTAGGGATCATTTTGGATACTAATCTGACTTTCCGTCAACACGTTGAGCAACTAAGATCACGTTGTATTAAACGAATTAATGTCCTAAGATGCATATGTGGGTTTTCCTGGGGTGCGGACCGAAAAACGTTGCAAATGTTGTATATTGGGCTAATCAGATCTACGATTGAGTACAATTGTTTTCTGTTTAGCACACTGTCGCCCAGTTTATGCAAACGTCTAGAAGCCGTCCAATCAACGTGCTTGAGACTTCTAACTGGGGCCTTTCGCACATCGCCAGTTCTTGCTCTTCGTGCAGATACCGGCATTCCAGCACTTGATGACCGACGCGTCTTTCTTTTCCTCCGCTATTACTACAGAGCAAAAAGTGTTCGAAATCACATTGCTATACCAGCGATGGAGGTGAGGAAACCAAGAACCCGACGCCCACTGCGTAGATCGTGCTTTCTCCCTGGGTGCCTTGAGCAAGCTCATCAACTGCTAAACATTAGGTACACTGAAGTTACTCTAAATCCTCCTATGATTCCATTTTGGCTCCTCAAAGACCTATCCATCGAATTTCTTTTCGATTATAAGAAGACCAGTATACCTCCGGTGGAAGCTCAAATGCTCTTCCAGGAGTATGTAGAGCTCAACTGCGACTCTGCTTTTTTCTTTACAGATGGCTCATGTCACGAAAATAAGATAGGTTCAGCAGCCGTCGGCCCTGGGCTTAGGTTTGGGACCCGGCTTCAAGAATTTACGACAGTCTTCAGTGCCGAAGTTCACGCAATCGAAAAAGTTATGGAGCACATCAAGGCAAAAAATATTGATCGGGCAACCATCTGTACTGATTCGAAATCCGCTCTTCAAGCACTGGAAAGGACTGATAATGTTACGTACCACGGTATCTACAATATTCTCAGAATCACATCAGATCTCAATGAGGGCCAGCATGTGACCCTTCTCTGGGTCCCAGGTCATTACGGTATTGCAGGAAATGAACGTGCGGATGTCCTCGCAAAGGAGGCTGCAATGCGACCTGATCCAGTTGTGGAACCTATGGCCCAAGGGGACGCTATCCATATGATAAAAATCAAATTCGCCGAGTACCTTCAACGCAAATGGGACCAACATCATGCTGCACATATGTATGCGATCAAACGAGAACTTAGAACATGGGTCACATGTAACCAACCAGACAGGATACGCGAGGTGACCCTGGCCAGATTGAGGTGTGGTCATACCCGCCTCACACATGGCCACCTTTTTGATAGGACGGACCCTCCGATTTGCCACACCTGTGACACACGCATCTCCGTAGAACACATTTTGATCGCATGCACGGCATTGCATCACGAACGAAGACACATCACTAACTATCTTGCGGTACAACACCTTAAAAACGACCTCCCGACCCTTCTCGGAGACGACACAACATTGACAAACCTGGTACTTGATTTCGTCCTAACATCACCCTACTCAGAGCTACTTTAACGGCCTTGACTTTGAGTTAGCAGGCACCCGTCTCGCTACCACCAGGCTGACTTGTGATACGGGATGGCCGATGGGTCGAGTTTTTTTTCGCTGGTACCGAAACACAGAGCTTCGATGGCAGACGGGTTTTCTCCAGCCGCGGGAGCAGGCTTAGAGGCTCAGCGGCCCAGCGAGCTACACCAGCGGACCCCGGCCGCTGAACAGAGGCGGCGGCCGGGTTGAACGACCCAAGGCCATATATAGAAGGTACAGTCACTCCCCCGCCGACCAATCAGAGACAGATCCTGAGTGACGTCATCCCTGATGCTCGCAAGGGGTACTCCATTCCTTAACAACGTAAAAATGACAAACTTCATATGAAGATTATTGATGGTACTTTTCAGATATCGCTCAACCGTTGATGTCACTCAAAAGCCCAACTAATTTTCTAGCGACAAAAAAGAGCAGCAATATGCTAAGAAATGGCCGGTTTTGAAGATATAGGCGATTTAAAAACCCTCTGCAGTAGCAGAAAAGCAACGTAAAAATGCATCGAGCTTATATTTTTACTATAAATAAATCATTTTTCAGTATGTTTTTAGATAACGTATTGATATGATTAACAACTTTATTACAATATTTTCTTTTATTTGAAACTTATTTCAAAAAAATATTTTCAAAAATGGCAGCTGTTGGCAAGAAGCTTGGAAGCGATTGTGGCGCACCACGCCATTATTGTCTTGAGGCCCCCTTATGATGTCATCAAAAGTGGAGTGACATGGGCCTGGAACGACCACAGACAACCGTCGGCCGCCAACTGCAGCAGCGACAAATTCCCTATCCTCCAAACCATTCCTTTCATCGTGACGCTTAAACATTCACAAACCCCATCCCTCCCAGCGACCTATCCCCCACTCTTCAAACCATTCCTGTCATCCAACTCTCGTCGTAACCTTACCATTCACAAACTTCCTCCTTCCCTCCTTTCACAAACATCAATTTACCGGTAAGTTTCACTGTCATTTACGCGTCTTAACGTAAATTCATGGGTTTTTCCCCATATTCATGGCATAGTACATGGATATGGGTTTTCCCATGTTGTCTTGCTGTAAAGTGGCCACCGGTCTTAGTTAGGGCGGCCGGTTTGTTTTGCGCGGCGTAGTTAGGTCGCCGCCCTCCTCGTGAGGCCGGTAACGTAAGTTAGGGCCACTAAAAAAAAAAAAAACCCTGCTCTTGCCTGCTCTCACCCAGAGTATAATAATAATAATAATACATGTTTATTTCATACCATAAGTGGTACATATAGGCGATACACTAAAACAAACACACACAGACACACCACCAAACAACCAATACACAAACCAGGTGCTCTTTCGTCAGAGAGATGCACAGGTACTGGTCATAAGACACGGTTGCGTCGTTCCATAACGAATCTTTCTATGTGTGCAACAAAAACATTGAATAGATCTGGCGACGAAGTGGCATATAAGTTGAGATTTAGCAAATCGTACTTTTGGCGATGTTTTGTATGCATACGGGCAGACAAGCCGTTGCTCCTGATGCTCCCGAGTATATAGATCACCTCCTTACCAAGCATAACAATTAACATTTGTCAATTGTTAAAACAGTGGTCGTGCAATGGTCTTGATACAACTTGCAACAAGTTTGCCTTTGCTGTAGGCTCACTTTTTTGACTTAACTCCTTTTTCTACTGTGTTTCTATCTACATTGACATAGGCATGAAATGAATTGAGTCAAGTTTTAGGCATAAATTAGTGGTTATTAGGTGCATGTGATAGCGCTAATAATGCTTGTATGTGTAATTAGCTAAGTATGTGCCCACCTATCAAGTAGGTATTGAAGTGAGCATTAATATTGAAATCTAAGAAGTCAGCATTGTCATTTGCATTGATAGGCCTTTATTCACTGCAGCAGTGCCCCTTGACACAAATTGAAAAATTAAATTGTTGACCTTTGTATGGTGGTCTAGTTAATAAGGTCTCTTCCTGTCTTATGCTTAGGTGGGATTGCGCTTGCTATCAAAATTCATAGGCTCCGCAAGGTTGTTAAGATTGGGGTCCGAGCCAAAACATTGATCCCCTAATCCCTATGTACAGATGTACAAAAGAATCAGCACTGTTGGTGTGCCCAGACCCATGTGACCCATGGTAGCAGCACCTCTGCACCTACCCCTCTTGTAGAGAGCTAGCTTGAGACACAGGATGTCTTTGTCACCATCTACCTGTAACCTGTGATACATAAAGCTTTCAATTAAAATTATGACCATTGACCTGGACACAGGTGAGGCCAGCTGTTGGGCCTGTGGTGTCATTAGCAACAAGCACCAATTGGTGTGGTCAAAGGGTGGCACCAAGGTCCAAAGGTATCCATACAGACTAAAAGAAAATACTTGAAATTTGTAAATAATTGGTACTTACTTGCCCTTGGGAGTGACACAAGGCATTAGTCATTGAAAATCCCACAAGTCATTACAAAGAACAGCAGCTGTCAATTTCAAATTCTTATTTCAAGGAAATTCTTATGAATTATAAATGCATATGGTAAAAAGATGTATCAAGAGATGTAGGTACATCAAGTGTTATTGTATCATTTTTCAGTCTTATTCTTACCTAATGCCTACCTCACCTCATTTCAGCTAACTCTGCTTCTGTGCTCTCACTTCATCAGGAAGCAATGGAGGGCGAACTGAGGTTCGACGGACAGGTGGCCGTTATAACGGGCGCTGGCGGCGGTAAGTGACCTGAGGGGTGCTGAGGACGTGTGGTGTTTAGTGACATGAGAGATGGATAGAGGGAGAGGTGGAGTAGCGAATTGGGAAGGAGGAGGCAATGAGTGGGAAATGAGGAGACTGGGTATGAGCAATGTGATTAAGAGTGACTGGTGATTGGGTGACTGGAGATGAGCGGAGATCGTATCATTCGGCGGTCGTTAATTCCCTCACAGATCTCTGTTTCCTGCTAATGTTTCTGATCCACTGATGTTACCAGGTGATCCTCACTGACGCAAACTGTGCACTGAATGACTCATTGGAGTTTTCTGGTGGTATGTTTCATTCCATGACTCCCAGTGCGGCTGCTGGTGCCGATTGGATTATGTGATGTTACGGCCCGCTGTCGCCGGGTCTGGGCCGCGAGTACGCCCTGTACTCCCGCTGTGACAGTCCTTATCGTCGTCAGGTCTGGGCCGCGAGTACGCCCTGCTGCTGGCGGCCCGTGGCGCCGCAGTGGTCGTCAATGACCTCGGCTCGTCAGCGGACGGGCAGGGACGCAGCAAAACCGCCGACAGGGTCGTGCAGGAGATCAAGGACAAAGGTGAGGGTCCCCTCTGGGGTCGGAAGGATCGTCGGCACTGACCGATCGCCCGCTGCATAGGTCGGCTGTGAACTCTGCTGCCAGAGTCCAGAGCTCGTGCATTTATCAGCGGCTGCAGGATAGCAGAGATTTGTCAAGATGTTCATTTAGAAGTGTTTTATGTAGGTATGTGCTTTAACCCGCGCCCCGCTGGGGGGGGGGCAGAATCTGCCCCCCCCCCCTCCCGTTTTTCGTCAATATCTTCTAAACGCGTTACGCCAGCGACGTCAAACTTTCAGTACCTTATCATACATCAATTTGACACGTTCCCTGAAAATTTCAGCGAAATCCGTCGGAAAATTTTTGAGAAATTGACGTTTTTGTGACGTCATGTTCGCCATTTTCGCCTCAAAAACGGCAAAATTTCAAACGCCGCTAACATCTTCATTTTTAAAGGAATCAAGACGTAACAAAAAAGGTTATACGTGATTCTACTTTGTCTATCAAATGGCTATCTCGGTTTTTTGAAAATTTTGGATTTTGACCCAAATTTTTTCAAAAAACTGACTTTTTTGGGAAAATTATTATAAAATCCAAAATTTTGAGTGTATCGAAAAAAACGGAATATATGTCAGAGAAATAGTCTATGTGCACGTATATACCAATTTTTAGAAGAATCGGTTCAAAAATGTGGGAGTTATTCAAAATTTTATGACGTCATGACACACAAAAATTTTGAAAAATGATTTGTTTGGAAGTTCTAGACCTCGTACGGAAACAAAAATAGCACCATTCGATTCGCCGTGAAAAACTGCATCAGATAGACACCTTTTTAGGCCTTAACAACCAACTTCAAAATTTGACCTCACTTGACCTGACCTTGACCTGACCTCGACCTGAAATTCATCCAGAGGGCGTCCATATCACTTATTGAGTGTGCCTTTTGAATTCTATGAGTAAAATGACCCATAAAACATGTGTCGCACATGCCCTTTTCTATTTTTTGTTTTTGGTGACCTGACCTGACCTGACCTGACCTTGACCTTGACCTTTGAATGACATTGTATGCAACGAATATTGTCTTGGTAGTCTAAGAACACGTTTTGGGCAATCAGTCTCAGTCCATTCTCCGGCAACTACGGTGCAAGGCCGATACTGTAGAAACTTACATTTTGTACCCTTGACCTGACCTTGACCTGACCTCTGACCTACCTAAGCAAAAAAATTTGGGCTCTTTAGATCCGCCTTGTTGAGAGCTTTCGATTGCCGTTTTCCGCGTCTTTCTACGACCATCGGTTCGGAAGTTAGACAGGGGGGGCAGAATCTGCCCCCCCCCCCCCAGCAGGGCGCGTATGGCTGAATAGCCCAGCGGGGCGCGGGTTAAAACTATTCAACCAGGAACCAAGGACTGGTAAGGTCGTTATGTCAAAAGTGGGACTTCGACATAAGCTGCCTCTCGGTCTACATCGTCTAGTGTTTCTCCCTACATCTCGCCCTCTACTTTTAACTCCCTCGTTCTCCCTCTCTCCCTCTCCCTACCTCTCCCTTCCTCTCCTTGCCTCCCCTCACCTTCCCCTACCCTCCCATAGTGCCCACTGGCTGTCTGGCTGCGAACTTGCGGTTAAGGATGATACTTGCTCTTCGACGGCAGGCGGACGGGCCGTGGCCAACTATGACTCGGTGGAGGAGGGACACAAGATCGTCCAGACGGCCATCGACGAGTTCGGGCGCATCGACATTCTGATCAACAACGCCGGGTTCTTGCGCGATCGCAGCTTCGCCAAAATGGAGGAGAACGACTGGGGTAAGCGTCGCTCAGCTTTCGCCCAAAGAACCGAGGTGTTTGTCACTCAACGCTCGTTACTGATTTATAACACCAATATTGGGTCGTTGACAACACATCAACGCAATTAAAAATGAATATTTAACGACGTAAATTAAACTTGAATGTTTTAAATATGATTCCGCACGAGCACTAAAACTTGAGAAACGAAGAGTTTACAACGACTGAGGGGCTTGCACGTTACCATTACCACCGCGCTTTTTTATAAGGATTCTGCTGCCATCCTTCTGCTTCAGACTGGCCAGCATTTGGTTGTATTAAATTGCATTTCACGCGTGCTTCTATCATGACCATGTAGTTGACGCTTGCCTTACCCCTAATTCGTATACATTTTTTTCAGACATGATTCACCGCGTACACCTGCGCGGCGCGTTCGTCACCACGCGCGCCGCCTGGCCCCACTTCCGGCGCCAGGAGTATGGCCGGATCGTACTGACATCCTCGGCGGCCGGGCTGTTTGGCAACTTTGGACAGACCAACTACAGGTCAGTGGCAGACTACAGACCAATTGCAGACCAACTACAGTGGCAGACGGACTACAGACTAACGACATATGACAGAGCAACTACAGGTCATTGGCAAACAGACTACAGACCAGTTACAGACCAACTACAGGTCAGTGGCAGACCAACTGCAGACTAACGACATATGTGTAGTATTTAGTGGCCTTATGTCACCCGTCAGTGCTGCCGCCTGGCGGGTGACCTTGGAGGGCCGAGCGGCCGGGGTCAGGGACGAGGGCAGTCTTGGTGCGGAGCTCGCGGTGGAGGCTCGGCTGCGGTGCTGTTGTGCGTTATGTCGTTTTACTAATAACTGTCTTGACTGTGTGTTCTGCCAATACACGGCAAGACAGTACATTTTGGCGACGAGTGAGTGCGCTCAAGCGGAGGCGACCATGGACGGGATTCGTCCGCCGGGACCCTTCATGGACACGGCCGCGGCTGGAAGTGTTCCTTGGAGTGCTTGGTATGCGGATTTTGAGCTGTACGCCACGACCATCGGCTGGTCTCAGTGGGATGAGGCCAGACAGCGCGCGCTTCTACTGCACTGCCTCGGGCAGGAGGGTCGGCGGCGCTACCGGGTGGCGGAGGCGGCGGCGGTGCCAGCGGCGGAGCCTCAGGACGCGCCGCTGTCAGGTGACACCGGCACAGGAACGGACTCGGGAACGGACTCCCGGGTACAGGTGAAGCCGGAAGACGGGGGAATGGCACAGTGTTTGTCACTCCTTCAGCATTTGTTTGATAAGCCGCGGGATATCATGTCAGAAAGAGTAAAGTTCCGTAGGCTTCGGCAGAAGACTGGGGAGTCTACTGCCTCGTTCATAACTACATTAAGAGAGCAGAGTAGATATTGTGCATTTGGAGCCTTGGAAGACGAGATGATTCGAGATCAGTTTGTCGAGGGATGCACGTCTGACCATCTCCGTAATCGTCTGTGCGCTGAGGACCATCTGACCCTGCAGCGTCTGGAGTCAATCGCCATGGCCGACGACCGGGCGGTGGAGCGCCGGCGGCTGTTCGGGGGAGATGACGGCGGGCAGCCGAGCCGGGCGGCGGCGGCAACCGAGCCGCTGGAGGTGGCCTACACGGCGCGAGATAAGACACCAGCACAACGACCGCCGGTCGACAAAACAAAAGGCAAGTTCTGCTATGCTTGTGGTCGCCGGGGTCACGTGTCTACTGATGACTGGTGTCCAGCCAAGGGCCAACAGTGTCGACGGTGTGGGACTGTTGGACATTTCGCTGTACGGTGCCCTCAGAAACCTGCTAAGGAGGTGAGAGCCGTGGAGCCAGACGTAGTGGAAGTTCTGGCAGTCAATCAAAACGACTCTGCTCTGCAGTTTAACGTCCGGCTGGACGGCAACTGGGTGACGATGCTGGTCGACACGGGTGCGGCGGTGTCCATCATCCCTCGCCAGCTGTACGAGACCGCACTGAGCCACAGGCCGCTGCTACCCACGACAGTGAACCTCCGGGCGTACGGCGGCAGCCAGCTGGTGGTGACGGGCGTCATCACAGCATCGGTGGAGACGGAGGACGGGCGGAGCTGCCAGGGCCGCCTGTACGTGGTGGACGGCGGCACGCCACTGCTCGGCAGGGACCTCCAGAAGAGTCTCTGCATCTCCACCTGGCACGGCTCCACAGTGTATGAGGTCGATCGACAGCCGGGACGATCCAGTGACGTGGAGGCCGGCAACGATCAGGACAGCGCTACACAGAGGTTAGTGACAAACGCAGTGGTGCTGCCACCTATGAGTCATGAGGCTATGAGTGTGCTGCCACCTGTCCGTGGTTTTGTCCACAGAGTACAGCTACGGGACGGTGCTGTGCCCGTTCAACAGAAGCTCCGGCCGCTGCCGTTCTCTATTCGTGAGGAAGTGAAGCAGCACCTCCAAGACCTCGAGAAGCAGCAGATCATCGAGAGGGTCGACGGGTCGCCATGGATCTCTCCGATCGTCGTATCACGGCGCCGATCAGGTCAGCTGAGACTATGTGTCGATTTGCGCGTGGTAAATAAGGCGGTGTGCACCAGTGGCTACCCGTTACCTGACATGCAGGAGATGTTGGACAACTTGGTTGGCGCTGAAGTGTTCTCGACTCTCGATATGAAGGCTGCTTATCACCAGCTGCTGCTTCATGAGGAGTCCAGACAGTTGACGGCGTTTGTAACGCATGAGGGAGTGTTCCGCTATCTGAGGTGTTGTTTTGGTCTCCGATCACTCCCCAGCTGCTTCCAGAAGATGATGGAGACCATCCTGCGAGGGTTACCTGGTGCTCAGGTTTACCTCGATGACGTCATCGTGTCGGGACGGACCAAGGAGGAGCACGACCGCCGTCTGAGTGACGTCATGGCACGACTCGGCGAGTACAATGTGACCTTGAACAAGGACAAGTGTCACTTCGGGGTGAGCCGTATCGACTTCCTGGGGTTCTCAGTGTCCCGGGAGGGTGTCTCCGTGAACCCCGACCGTGTGCAGGGCCTGAGAGACATGAAGCCGCCAGGTACAGTCAAGGAGCTGCAGGCAGTCCTGGGATTGTTTGGGTTCTACGGCCGGTTCATTCCCAGGTACAGCACCAGGGTGGAGGAGCTGCGGCAGCCCCTGAGGAAGAACGCTCCGCCGTTCGCGTGGACGTCGAAGATGAACGAAGCGTTCGAGGACGTCAGAGCAGCGATTCTGAGCAGCTCTGCCCTGGCCATGTATGACCCGACCCTCTCCACAGTGGTGACGACAGACGCCAGTGACGTGGGCATCGGGGCGGTGCTCACGCAGATGCACCCCGAGGGTGAGAGAGTGGTTGCGTTCGCATCCAGCACGCTGTCGACAGCGCAACGCAACTATAGTGTCACGGAACGAGAAGCGTTGGCCAGTGTCTGGGCCATCGAGAAGTGGCACAGATATCTGTGGGGCAGAGACTTTGTCTTGAGGACCGATCACCAGGCACTGACTACCCTGATGACATCACGTGGGATCGGCAGGGCAGGAATGCGCATATCTCGCTGGGCGTGTCGGTTAATGGAATATTCTTTCACAGTGGAGCACGTCAAGGGGCGCATCAACCCGGCAGATGGGCTGTCTCGACTTCCATCATCAGTGCAGGAGGCGTCAGACGACGAACAGCTGGTGATTGCGGCCCTGACGGAGGAGCGGGCCGCGGTGACCGGCGCGGAGCTGAGGGCGGCGTCACAGTCGGACCCGGTTCTCAGTAAGCTGAGGCAGCAGATACCGCGCCAGTGGCCCAGACGCTATGGTGAGTGCGTGCCCGAACTGCAGCCCTTCTTCCGTTGCAGAGACGAGCTGGCGGTAGAAGATGACGTCATTCTGCGTGGCGGTCGAGTCCTAGTACCTGCGGCGCTCCGGACGAGACTGATTGAGCTGGCACACGGAGGACATCAAGGCATCGTCCGAACAAAGCAAAGACTGCGAGACCTGTACTGGTGGCCAGGCATGGACCAGGCTGTGGAGGAACAGGTAAAGGGCTGTCAGATCTGCTCTCTCGCAGACAAGACGGCGTCGCCGCGACACGCGCCCATGCAGCCCGTTCAACTCCCATGTGAGCCATGGTCTAAACTGGGAATCGACTTCATCGGGCCAATGAGTGGAGGTCGACCCGGCCAGAGGTTTGCCGTCGTCGCTATCGACTACTATTCGAAATGGATCGAGGTGGGATTTTGCGAGCACCCAACGTCAGAGGTGGTGATACAGTTTATGGAAAAGTTGGCGTGCCGGGAAGGGTACCCGAGAGAGATTGTATCTGACTGTGGGTCTGCATTTACCTCGGAACGATTCGCTTCTTACTTGCGGAATGTGGGTGTTGCCCATATCAAAGTGTCTCCCTACCACCCACAGTCATCAGGTCAAGTAGAGCGAGCCAACAAAACAGTGAAAGCGGCACTTCAGATAGCTGACCTGGAAAAGGCTGACCGGTCTCAATATCTGCAGATGTTCCTGTTCTCGTACCGGAGTACGGTGCAGGCGACCACTGGAAGGAGCCCGGCTGAGCTGCTTCACGGACGACCAATGAGGGGCAAACTCAGCGCGGCACTGGACGTCGGCGGACGTCATCCAGCGAGACCTGGTGACCTGCATGAGCACGTGAAGCGGAAACAAACCTATCAGAAGACGTACTTCGACCGCTCCCACGGAGTCAAGACGCCCAGCTTCTCTGTGGGAGACCAGGTCCGTCACCGGCTTCCTCCGCAGGCGCGGAAGGGGCAGCTCCGGTTTTCGGCGACGAAAAGGATCGTGCAGCAGCGGGGGCCAGCGAGCTATCTGCTGGATGACGGCACCCGCGTCCACGCTGACCGCCTGACGCGGAGCGCCGGTAGCTGCCCAGCAGAGGTCGACGGCCGGAGAGGCGAGCCGGTGCAGCCGGACGGTGCAGCTGACCGGACGGGACCGGCTGACGCGGAGCTGGAGTCGTCTGGCGACCGCGACCGGCTGGAGCAGCAGGAGCAGGACAGGCTGGAGGCGATACCGGAACCAGAGACAACTGACAGTCACCTCCGGCTGGACGGGCAGCAGCTGGACGTGCCGCCGGCGCCCCTGGAGGCGGACGAAACGACCAGCGGCCGCTCGTCGACGCAGCCTGACACTGGGACGGCGACAGGGACTGGAGGGCGACGGACGCGAACCGACCTTCAGCAAGGGCAGACGAGCACGGCGGAGGAGGAGTCTGGTGTCGTCCGACCAAGGCTGCCGGAGACGGGCACAGGAGTGACAACGAGATCGGGAAGAGCTGTTCGCGCTCCAGTGTACTATGGATTCAATACTTAACCGGTTGTCGTACTGTAATAATCGCCTGAGGTCTCGGATGTCGTTCTGCTTTTGCGTCTGCTGTACTTAGAAGTTCAGTTACTTTGCACTTTACTGGCACGGGCGAATATGAGCTGTGAAATGAAGTCACTATTTTTGTTGTAGGGGAGGAGGAAATGTAGTATTTAGTGGCCTTATGTCACCCGTCAGTGCTGCCGCCTGGCGGGTGACCTTGGAGGGCCGAGCGGCCGGGGTCAGGGACGAGGGCAGTCTTGGTGCGAAGCTCGCGGTGGACGCTCGGCTGCGGTGCTGTTGTGCGTTATGTCGTTTTACTAATAACTGTCTTGACTGTGTGTTCTGCCAATACACGGCAAGACAGTACAATATGACAGAGCAACCACAGGTCATTAGCAAACAAACTATAGACCAAATATGTACATTTGACAGATCAACTACAGACCTCGGCGGCGGGGCTGCTTGGCAACTTTGGACAGACCAACTACAGGTCAGTGACAGACTACAGACCAACCACAGACCAACTATAGGTCAGTGACTGGTGAACGACCGGCCAGTGACAGACCAGTCACAGGTCAGTGATAGATCAGCTATAGCTCAGTTCTCGCCGCTCGGGTTATCCCAATTGACAGGCTAGTGCGGGCTATTGACTCTTAACGTGACTCGAGGCTTTTAACTGATCGACCATGACCTTCTATTGTTGGACATTAATTACGTGAGAAGGACTAACACATTAGCAAGTATTAACAGTTCGTTCCCTTCTCCCTGTGCTCCTTACAGCGCGGCCAAGATGGGTCTGATTGGCCTGGGCAAGACGCTGGCGCTGGAGGGCGAGCGGCACAACATCATCACCAACGTGCTGGTGCCGGCGGCGCTGTCCCGGCTGACCGAGTCTCTCCTCCCGCCCGAGCTGCAGCGCCAGATGGCGCCCGTACACGTGGCGCCGGTGGTGGCTGTGCTGTGCCACCGGCGCTGCCCGGCCGCCGGCGCCGTGGTCGAGGCGGCCGGCGGAGCGGCAGCCACCTACCGCTGGCAGCGCAGCGCCGGCATCGCCGACCTGGAGCTCACTCCGGAGAAGGTGCTCGACCAGTGGGAGGTGCTCGACGCCGCCGACCCGGCCGCAGAGAGCCCAGACACGCCGGCGGCCCAGATGGCGCTGCTCTCGCGTCAGCTGACGGACGCCGCAGAGCGCGAGGCAGAGCGCCGGGAGGTGGAGTCGGCGCCGGCCGGGACTGTGGACGTGTCTCGCGCGCTGCGGACCCGTCTGCCGCCGGCGCGCTTCACCTACGGGCCGCGCGACGCGGCGCTGTACGCGCTCAGCATCGGTGTGTCGCTGGAGCAGCGGCACGGCCTGCGCTACCTGTACGAGGCAGCCGACGGGTTCGAGCCGCACCCCATGTTCGCGTCCGTGGTGTTCAGTGCTCTGGATATGACGCGAATGGCCAGCCTGCCCGGATTCCCCATCGACCTGACTCAGGTGGGTGAAATGGGGAACGCTAGCCCACTGCCACCCAACATGACTCGAAATGACTTCTTTCATAGCTGGGTTTTGAGGTAGTATGTGAAATGTTATGAAGGAAATTGTCTGCACTCTTTGACACTTAATTTGAATACCTGCTGCAGATGCCATCCGAAGATCTTGATGTGACGGCCACTGTATGAAATATATTTCATAGTGTAATAGTGATGCTCTCATATGGTGATAGCGGGTCGTGTATGTAACGTAGAACCAGATGTGTGTCGCATTGAGGCCCTTATTGCGTCCCGATTACCCAGTGACTGTGTCCCCACCATCCAGCTGCTGCATGGTGAGCAGTACATGGAGCTGAAGAAGCAGCTGCCGCCGTCTGCCACACTGGAGATCACGGCTAACCTCGCTGACATCATCGACAAGGGCGACAAGGGAGCCATCGTCCTTCTGGACGGTGAGTTAGCGGTGAACACAGGGGCACTGTCCCCGCCTGATGGTGGTAGAACTGGGGAAGGGTCGACTCCAACCTTCATCCCCACCTGTCGAGGGGAGGGCGGGATAGGGGAAGTGATCAGCAACACGGCTCGCCCACGTGCAGTTGGATGGAGCGTTACCTTACGCCGTTCAGTGTTATTAGTTGATTCAACGCGTAAGCTTGTTGGTTAAAAAGCGTTAAACGGGTTATTATTTGTGATTATTTGATGCGCTGGACTATATAGCTAATTGATTGGATAGCGTTCGTGTAATTTGTTTTCGATTTTCCTCTTGGCCATACGTCCTTCCATCGGCTCGTAGCTCACTGTCTGACTCACTGACTTTGGCTCTGACTGACTTTCGCGGACTTTGACTGGCTCTCTGCCTCTCTGACATACTCTCTGACTCGTCCACAGTGCACGCGGCGGACAGCTCTGGCGACGAGGTGGCCTTCATCCAGCAGAGTCTGTTTGTGCGTGGCGCCGGCGGGTTCGGCGGCCACGCCCGCTCACAGGTGGCCCGGCCCTGCGCCGAGGTGCCGCCCCGCGCGCCGGACGCCACGCTCTCAGTGAGCACGAACCGCGACCAGGCGGCGCTGTACAGGCTGAACGGCGACCTGAACCCGCTGCACATCGACCCCGAGTTCGCGGCGCTGGGCGGTCAGAGCCGGCCCATCCTGCACGGTCTGTGCGGCCTGGGTGCCTCCGTGCACGCTGTGCTCGAGCACTACTCGACCGACCGCGAGGAGCCAGCCCAGCTCAACAAGGTCAAGGTCAGTGCCACACACGGGGTCAAGGTCATTAAATCCAAGTGTCGGGGGAGGGAAGATGCTGGTTATACCGCGGCCACGGACACGGTAGACCGGGCAAAACCAAACTGCATCCGTTGCAGATCGCTGTAACCCATGGACCATACAGGACCATATTTCGTTTTGTTTTGTTGAGGAGGTGCCTCGTAATAAGTTTATGCTTTTGCACCAAATCAACTTTATTTCTGTCCATTGTCCAATCCCATACTCATGAATAAACAACAAACAAACAAACAAACAAACAAACAAAAACCAACAAACAAACAAACAAACAAACAAACAAACAAACAAACAAACAAACAAACAAACAAACAAACAAACAGGCTCAGAGGTGATTAGAGCTGGGACTCAGAGTCATAGCTGGTACGTTAGTGAAGTTATAGTGACCCGTCCCTGGCCGCAGGTGCGGTTCTCGCGGCCCGTGCTGTGCTGTACTGTGATCAGTGACCGGCTCGCGGCCCGTGCTGTGCTGTACTGTGATTCAGTGACCGGCTCGCGGCCCGTGCTGTGCTGTACTGTGATCAGTGACCGGCTCGCGGCCCGTGCTGTGCTGTACTGTGATTCAGTGACCGCCCCGGTCCGTCCTGTAATATGTATGTACAGTGCCTTTCCGTTGTCTCAGGTGCGGTTCTCGCGGCCCGTGCTATGCTGTACTGTGATTCAGTGACCGTCCTGTAATACAGCGCCTTTCCGTTGTCCTCAGGTGCGGTTCTCGCGGCCCGTGCTGCCCGGCCAGACGCTCCTTGTCGATACCTGGCGGGAGCCCGGCTCGGCGCGGGTCGTGTTCCAGAGTCGGGTCAAGGAGACGGGACAACTGGCGCTCGCAGGTAATTATCCGCCCTAAAACACACCCTAAAACAGTCCTCAGTGAAATTACTTTATCATGAAGGCATTATCGATTATGGTAGCTTCATAACTTATGCTACTTTCTATATACCTACGTTTTTTTTTCTGTGTACAGTTGACATTCGGTATGTGAAGCCTGTTGTTTGTTTTTGGCCCGTCACTTGCCTTTTCTCTGTAGGATTTCGGCAATCTGTGCGGTCTTTCTGACTCATGATGGCTGTGTTTGTTAGGAGGATACCTGGAGCTGCGGGATCTGGATGTTGGGGCCCGTGCCAAGCTGTAGCTGCGTCAGCCGATCGGCCCAGGATGGATTCAGGTCCAGTACGGGGGTGACAGCCGCTCTGGTCAAACCAGCCGCTCCCCGCACATACATGTACTCTCGACCTGCTGGGGGGAGGGGTGGCACCCAAAGTCCACAGCATTTTAGCTTGGAAGCTCAACTCGGTCGTGAATCGTGGACACGGCCAGGGGGTGGAAGACCCAAATGGTAGCGTCGCAGTCACTGAAGATGGTAGACTTTGGTCGGTGTAGATTACTGTGACACCGACAATAATGTCACGTTAATGACAGCGGGAGGATGCGTACAACAGCTTAAGATAGACTTGTGAGATTTGCATCCCCCGGAATGTAGAAATATGGCGGTCCAATAGATCCACAGGGGCTGGCAATGCTTATGTGGGTAATGTTTATAATTGATGGTGATGATATAAGGCCTTGGGGCTGGTTTCGTGATAATTAGCCAATCTGTCGACTACGAAATGGCGCCTGACAAAGGAGCTTTGGCGATAGGGGCAATATGTACCTTTTTATCAACACAGTGGTTCACCGCGCGTTGAATTGAATATATATCGGCAAACACGGATGGTTGAACTATGTACAGGGTGTTTCACAATTACCGTTACAAGAGTTCCCACTCAATTTTGGTGCACTTAAAGGTGGTTTTTCTGAAAACACTATACACCATTGGAAAGAGCACATAATTCTGGTCCTGGTTAATTGCATTTTGAATGCCTTTGGACAGATAATGGGTGTAGCAGATGAAAGACTGATCCAAATGAGGTCCGAGTCTGCGATTATCTTGAATATCAGGATTAGAGCCTGTGTGATAAGCTTGTTGCTCGCGGACCTATTTGAAGACGGCTGTACATGGCTGCGTGGTGTAGTCAACAGGTATCTATTACGCACCTCCTGTATGAATTTCAAGTCTTCAACGCACAGGCTTCAATGGCAATGACGTCATTTCCTACCTCGTGTCAGAAAGGTGACTTGCGTGCCGGCCGGCGAGCCGACCTGGCGGCTGAGATGTGTGGGTGGATTAACGCGTGCCTCCTGCGGCCCGCCGCGATGCGGATCGGGGGCACTAGTGCATGAAACTCCGCAACAGCTGTCGGTTGCCAGGGGGCACAGACCTTGACCCTCCTTGCAGTCTAGAGGTCATTCGAGTCCAGTGCCTTCGCGCCGCCACACAAGTCCACACAAGTCCGTTGGTCTTTGTGCCCGAGGGCGTAAAAATCAACAAAGAAACCTACACCGAGACCATCCTTGAACAGACGGTGAAGCCGTGGGCCAAGAAAACGTACGGAGACGAGGGCTGGACTTTTCAGCAGGACGGCGCAACAAGCCACACCGCGCGCGTCACCCAACAGTGGTGCGAAGACAACTGCCCAGGCTTCATCACCAAGGACCAGTGGCCCCCATCATCCCCAGATCTGAATCCGATGGATTACACGATGTGGTCCGTGCTCGAGAAGGAAGCCTGCTCCAAACCGCACAAGAAGATCGACGATCTCAAGCGATCTCTGATCAGCGCCTGGCAGAAGATCCCCGACGCGGTTGTGCGTGCCGCAAGCCGTGACTTCAGGAGACGGTTGGCTGCCGCTGTGAAGGCTGGAGGCGGCCACTTCGAGTAGGACTTAAGGATGTTGGTCTCTGTGGTTTTGGGTGCATATGGTGCAATTTTGGCGGAAATAAAGTCATTATGCCCAGAGATATTGAGCTTTGATCTTGTAACGTTAATTGTGAAACACCCTGTATTTGTTGCTACTCGGGCTCTTTCCGAACAAGCTTACCTACTTGTCTTCCATTGGGTCAGACGGCGCTCGTGTCTCGTGATCTACCTTTGGTGTGTAATTAAGACTAAAATGCGATCGATTTTAACTGCCCTACTCGGCCGAGGGGAATGGCGTTGACGCATCCCCTGACAGTTTTTGTTGTAATTGCTTGGAACGCACTGGCCATAGAGAGCTGAAAGCTAGCGCACATGACCTTTGATTCAAGTCGGATTTAAGCAGTAACTGCATTTTCACGTCAGGTTAAGTCCCTGACCTAAGACGTCATAAGGGAACGGCTGCAGGGCCTGAAAATGTCGAAACTTCGTAACGACTTCAGTGGTATGTGATTCGGGGAGGGAGGGAGATGAAACTTACAGGATTTAATAATCTCACAAGCCCTCACAACTCTTAAACCGCCCTTCAAAGGTCAGCAAAGGCTAACTCGTATATATTTACGCCGTGCATCGTGACCTATTCAGCAGAGGAGCGACTAGTTAGAATGACACCAAACGATTCGTAGGTGCGGTAGCTTACTCTTTCAGCGTCTATTCAATTTTGCCTTCCTGTTGCTTTTTTTTTCTCAAATCTAGGACCGTCATGTTGCAGAAATAAGCATTCTATAGGTCTCTTGACCCTGTTCTACATATTGTCTGTTGTCAGATTTGGCTCGGACCACAGGTGGAGCATTGTGAAAGTGTCAGGGGTGCTTTTCAGCGATGTCTGAACGGCTCCATAAAATTCCTGCAAAGTAACGAACTTCAATGCGCTTCCCAGCATTTCTGCTGTCTACACGATTGTGTTTTACTTTAGCGGAAGACATCCACGGAAATAAGAATCATTATTCTATGTGAACTTTCCAATTTCAGGGGGTACTTTTGACAGTGAAGGGGTGCTCGAGCACCATCAAAGCCCTTAATTCCCTGCCTTCTAGGTCGGACTACTGTCCCCCACAGAGGAAGGACAAAAACTGTGAAGTTACTTGCTTGCATAAGTAGTGTTGGCGATGACTAACCAGATGGTGTATGGCTATATGCGCGCTCTTCATATGTGTAATTTAAGTGTGGGTTTTGTGCGTGAGGGAGTCGGTATGTGCTGTAAATTGTACAAATTGTATACAGGCATATATGGGCGCAAGCATAGTTGCATATCGCTCTCAGAGATTCACACGCGACACTAGTGCTTTCTGTTTTATTTCTCATCTCACCGCAAACCGCCCCCGGTTCGGAGAAGGGAGGGCTCACACAGAGTACGGGTACGAGGCCGTGGTGGCGATGCCGCACTGGTTGCTGCCGTTGCGGGTCATGTAGATGTAGCCGCTCTGGCCCCAGCCGGTGCCCCACGAGTTCTTGACGAGCCAGTAGCCGTCACCGTAGCCGACCGCCAGCACGCCGTGGTCGAGGTACTGGCTAGAGCAGCTGGGCTCGTAGTAGATGCCGCTCGAGTAGAACTGGAACGACTGCTTGGAGGCGTCGATGGCGACGGACACGGGCCCCCAGCTGCCGAGCGCGTCCATCATCGAGTTCTCGTCGCCGGACGGAATGTCCACCCAGCCGTTGAGCCGGGCCACGCTCTGGCCGTAGGCGCGGCACGAGCCGTCACGCGCCTCGTACGGGTACGACGCCTCCGACTGGATGCCGCCGTTGTCGTAGATGTATCTGTTGGATACGGAGGGTCAGTGTGGTGATCTGGTTGGGGCCCTTGGGTTTTGTCTGTCCTCATTATTTCCTTTAATTCGTCACTCGTGACTCGGGTAAAAAAAAAAATTGTAGTTCAAAACGTATTCTCAAGATATGTGGGTAACCACATTTTTTACACCGAGATTTCAACTCTTGTACCAATCATCAAATACAGGTTAAATACCAAATAATTAACTTCTAATAATAAATATTAAATTTGTTGCGTTCTGAACGCTTGTACGGTCCACACGTGCTCTGCGCAAGTGAAACTAGTTAGGCATCACAGAATGATTGGGTGACTCACTGGAAGGCCTGGTCCATCCAGCCGCCGTTGCAGCCCTGGTTGCCGTAGGGCCGGGAGCAATCCACCAGCTGCTGCTCGCTCAGCGAGATCAGGGAGTTGCCGGCGCGCGCCCAGGCGCCCTCCAGGGCACCGGTGGCAGAGAACGACCAGCACGAGCCGCACTGGCCCTGGTCCTTGACGCCGGTCACCACGCCGTACTGACGCCAGTCCATGCTGCTCGGCGCCGTCTTGCCAGAGGGCTCGTACGCCTTGTGGGGAGTGGTGCTGCCCATCTTGAGGCCCTTGTACTGGCGGCTCCACTCCTCGGTGGTCAGGTCGGCGAACTTGTTGAGCGCCACGGTGAAGGTGTGCTTGCCCTCGGCATGCTCCTTCATGTGCTGCTCGATGTAGGCCTTGTTGTCGGCGTAAACCTGTGCGGCGAAACAACTCGTCACTCGTCAGCGCCATGTGTATGTAGGGAACAGCGCGAGTGCTTTTCGGGAGAACCAGCATTGGGCTTGATGGCACCGCTATGTGTGCATTGACACTCGGTATAAATTCTATACGTGTGGCTAGTTAGAAATGAAGCAGCTGCAGGTATTTTTGGTTCTTAGTGCTTTTGTAATTACATATTTTTTAGACAGTGCCGATTTGATAGTTCATTTTGCGATGTTATAAATAATAATCCTGGCTCATTTTCGGTGTTATAGAGAATGTAATTTTCCAAATATTTGTATGTAATATCAGATGTTCGCAGACTATTGACTAACCGTTACCGCTAACGTCGGATGCGTACCTTCATTCGGTAGAACTCCTCGATGGGGTTGGCGTAGGACTTGGCATGCTTCAGCTTGAAGTTGTTCCACTCGGACTGCTCCACGAAGGAGGAGGCGGCTCCAACGAGCAGCACGAGCACGGCGGCGCGCATGGTGTGTGGCTGAAAAAGGGTGATATGCATACGGGATGATGAGCGTCCTAAACCGTGTACGGATAAATGAGGCGGCGGTGAATCGGACCCCGGCCGATAACGGCCTCAGACGGGCGCACAAGATCTGAGTCGGCAGATGTGTCCATATGGGACTTGTTTGTTTGTTAATTGGGGCTTTAGGGCGCGCCGACTACTAAGGTCATTTTGCGCCCAATGGGACTATCTAATGTCTATTATTTATCTTGAGAATGGTATAGGTAGAATCACTACAGGGGCCGGCAAAATTTCTGTCCTCTACTAATGACATCATGTATTGCACCCAATCGTTTCTACAATGATCAGTGGCGGTCGTAGCTGCGCCCTGCATTGAACGGTCCTAGGCGGCTGAGGTTGAAGTCGTAAGGTCCTACTATCGCACGGTCATCGCCCGAGGCGCCTTTTTTGTCATACCACTCTCAACTTTCGGTATAAGTCTCAACTCTTATCCCTCTAAGTCTCCTCCACTGTTTTGCCTGTTCGCACTATTTTATGCCCATCCTCGTCGCCATTTCGTGTGCTAGGTCTGACTCGGCCATCCAAACAACTGGAAGACACGCAGTTGCCCGACTTTGCGATTGGCAACCTGCATGCCCACGATTGACCGATGGAATTGGGTAAACGCTCCCAATGACTCCATGCGGGACCGAATGTCTTTGAGAACGGTGGCATTAGACGCGTTTACATAGGGTTTGTTGCAAGCTTATATCTCCGTCCGTGATGTTGCAAAAGATGCCAATGGTGCTTACCAATTTACAAAATGATCCCCTCTAAATATTTGAAGACCACTGCAACGAAATTATCGCCAAATTAACGAGCTAGAGCCTCGCCAAATATGCTATGTAAACCGGGTTATTGTGAGGCTACTTGGTGCTAATTTCCATACAAACTTTGCAGGACTAATTCGTTCTGCCCCCAAAATATTGGCGAAATGCATGGTCAGTGCTCGTCAACAGCTTTTCGGCACGGAACAGAACATCCTGTTGCACAGCGAACAATCTCACCTTTTGCGGATAAGTCGGGTCCCACGAGAAGAACCTACCGGATGCGCGCCCTTGGCGCTTATATACCGTCATCTATCAGTGGCGGTGGCGCAGCGCAGTGCTCCTGGACTGCACGAGGGCACGTGCGCCGGCCGGCAGCGCTCCCACGGAGAGGCGGCCGGCAGACGTCCCTATCGCGCCCCGGCTGGGGACGCAGCAGGTGCCGGCCGCGCAGCACAACCGCGCTATCGCTCCTGACCTTCGCAGACAGTGGGAAACTTTTATTTTGTCGAGCAACGCCATTGGTGATGTTTTTTTAGAGTGTTTTGAAGTGTCTGTAAATCGAATTGCGTGTTATGGATCCAAATTGATATTCCTATAGGCGCCTTGCAGGCCTACTACCTCTTGGCTCTTATACCTAGACATGAAAGAAGATATGGACCTACCTTTAGTACCCACCGTCTTGCCTGCAGCAATGGCACCCAGCTTGGACTGGGTTCTGTATGTAGGTATATATACATACATGGCTGCCTGAAGTGCCAATGATTTATCCTAGAAAAAAGCGTCGTCACCTTAAAAAGACAGTAGTCCTCTGACCCCAAACTGTTCTGCAAAACTGCTGCTAAACCGCTTCTGTGTACAGTGATCTAAATGCATATGAGCGCACGTTCTCTGGCCGCGTGACCCGTTTGGTGACCTTTTGGCTGACCCGGCCAGGGTCAGCCAATGGTTGCCAAAACTAAGGACTGCGTCGATGCAACACCCGCGAACAATGTGAGGGCTCAGTGGGAAACAGTGCTTTTTACCCATGGTAACAGGAATTCCGCCGTTAAACGTTTAAATCGGCGATAAAGACGTAACTAAGAAGAGAATGGCTTTTCCAAGCCTTTTATGACACATGTTTCTAGGCTAGTTTTTTTTTTTAGCTGAATTCGAATCTAGCAGCAGTGGCGGATCCAAGGGGGGTCACATGGGTCATGGCCCCCCTTGAGGCCCGGGGGCCCAAAGACCTGCCAGGGGCACCACCGGCCTATCAGGGGTATCACAGTCCTGACAGGGGCACCAAAGGACCGCCAGGGGCACCACAGGCCTAGCAGGGACACCACGGGCCTGGTGCCCCTGGGCCCTGACAGGACTGTAACGCCCCTGACAAGCCTGAAGTGTCCCCGGCAGGCACGTGGTGCCCCTGACAGGCCTGAGGCGCCCCTGCAAGGCCGGTGGTGCCCCTGGCAGGCCTGTGGTATCCATGGCAGGCCTGTGGTGCCCTTGCTAGGCCTCTGGTGCCCCTGACAGGCTTGTAATGCCCCTGTCCTCTTCTGCGCGTTTGCCAACGACCTGAGTTTGTACGTCTCCGATGGACTGGTTATCCAGTACGCCGATGACACCCAGGTCTTGGTTTCCGGCCCTAAATCTGCTCTTCCAGCGCTTGCATCGCGCATGGAAAGCACCCTTTCCTCTCTTGGCAACTACTTCCTTGCGAACGGCTTAAAGGTTAACGTAAACAAATTCGAGCTCATCACTTTTGGTTCTAGACAAAATTTGCGCAACCTCCCGACGATTAAAATCAGATATCAGGACACGTGCCTGACGCCCAGCACTGAGGTCAAAAATCTTGGTGTGGTCTTCGACCAGCACCTGTCATGGGACGCGCATGTGAGGGCTGTCTCGCGTAGATGCTGCGGCATCCTCGCAACACTATCCCACCTCCGCCACTTCCTTCCTCCTGACACCCTTCCCGAGATAGTCACCGCCCTGGCCGTCTCGCACATCCGCTATTGCCTCTCTGTTTACGGCAGCGGCAGCGCTGGCAACCTCGCAACCATCCAGAAGCTGCTCAACTTTGCGGCTCGCGTGATCGCGGGAAAACGAAAGTTTGACCGCGTGTCAGCTGTGCGAGACAGGCTGGGGTGGCTCGACTCGTCTCAACTCTTCCAATACCAATCCCTCTGCCTCCTTGACAAAGTCCTCTCCTCTAGCCAGCCCGAATGCATCGCCCGTCAGGTCTGCCTCAACCGGGACCATCATGGCCATGTCCGGCACACCAGACAGGACGATCTCCTGCACGTGCCACCCATCCGTTCGGAGGCGGGCCGGCGACGGTTTGTATACCGCTCTCCCCACCTCATGAACGATCTGCCCATGTCGGTGCGGAACCAGCGAGGTCCGCGGTTCAGGCGAGCCCTGAAGGCCCACCTACTCTCGAGACGAGACACGTGATGAACGCGTTTTTAATCATGATGCCGTGCAGGTGATGTTTTTTATCCTGAGCTATATGTATATTTTAGGTTGTGTAACATCGTGAGTGTGTATTTTACCCTGCATGTTATGATCCGATTTTATTGACGTGAAGGCCATAATAGCCACTTGTCTTGTGGATGGCTCTTTAATAAACTACTACTACTACTGGAAGGACTGTGGTGCCCCTGGGCCCTGACAAGCCTGAGGTGCCCCTGACAGGCCAGTGGTGCCCTTGCTAGGCCTGTGGTGCCCCTGGCAGGCCTCTGGTGCCCCTGACAGGCTTGCGGTGCCCTTGGAAGGACTGTGGTGTCCCTGGGCCCTGATAAGCCTGAGGTGCCCCTGACAGGCCCGTGATGCCCTTGTTAGGCCTGTGGTGCCCCTGGCAGGCCTCTGGTGCCCTTGCTAGGCCGCTGGTGCCCCTGGCAGGCCTCTGGTGCCCTTGCTAGGCCGCTGGTACCCCTGCGCCCGGAGAGGACTGGTGCCCCTGAAAAGTCTGAAGTGCCCCTCGGCAGGCCCGTGGTGCCCCTGACAGGCCCGTGGTGCCCCTGACAGGCCCAAGGTGCCCCTGCGAGGCCGGTGGTGCCCCTGGCAGACCTCTGGTGCCCCTGGCAGGTCTGTGGTGCCCCTGGCAGGTCTGTGGCGCCCCTGGCAGACCTGTGTTGACTGGTGCCCCTGCTAGGTCGCTGGTGCCCCTCACAGACCTGTGGTGCGGCCTTGACAAGCCTGAGATGCCTGGCTATGACAGGCTCGTGGTGCCCCTGATAGACCAGTGGTGCCCTTGCTAGGCCTGTAGTGCCCCTGGCAGGCCTCTGGTGCCCCTGCTACCCCTGCGCCCGGAGAGGACTATGGTGCCCCTGAAAAGCCTGAAGTGCCTCTCGACAGGCCCGTGGTGCCCCTGGGCCCTGACAGGCCCAAGTTACCCCTGCGAGGTCGGTGGTGCTCCTGGCAGGCCTCTGGTGCCCCTGGCAGGTCTGTGGTGCCCCTGGCAGGCCTTTGTTGACTGGTGCCCCTGCTAGGCCGCTGGTGCCCCTCACAGGCCTGCGTTGCCCCTGGAAGGACTGTGGTGCCCCTGCCCCTAGGGGTGCTCATGGGCCCAACAGGCCCGTTGTGCCCCTGACAGGCCTGTCGTGTATACTTGCTAGACCTGTGGTGCCCCTGCTTCCTGGCAGGCCTGTGGTGCCCCTGGCGGGCCTGTGGCGCCCCTACAAGGCCGTAGGTGCCCCTGACAGGTTTGTGGTGTCCCTGGAAGGACTTTGGTGCCCCTGACAATCCTGAACTCTGAAGTGTCAAGGACAGACCCTTTAGACGCCAGGGTCAAGTTCGTCGGACTGACAACGATTTGCTTACCTGATAACGTTCCTGGTAAGTACTCACTACTCAGCGTCCACAACATATTTAGGTACACATAGCACATTCATATATACTTGCTTACAATTGGTAAATGTGGTTGTGGCTAAGAGTTAAGATTCTGACTAAAAATAAAAAATAAAAAGAAAAAAACTTAAAATGGGGGCACCACCAAAATGAAGTGGACGAAATCCGTTGAGTTTTTAAGTTTGGGTATAGGTAGGGGCACCACTTCGATTCATGACCCTCCCCTTGGAGTTTTCCTGGATCCGCCCCTGTCTAGCAGCCATTTGAACATTTACAAAGTAGGTAGTTTTGGTGCCTTCGTAACATGTTACGAAGCTGTTGGAGGCAGTTGACACGTAGGTACCTACTACGAATACTAGTCACGACCCCTACTGGTTGACCTGACCTGACCTGGTCTAAATGCTTAAAGGCGTCGTCTGTGATCGGTCAAAACTAACACGATATTCGTGATCAGCACCCCGAAAAACCCACAGCAATATCTTACCAAGATATTGCAATTGCTGCAAAACTGACACTTCTTCGTGTTGCACGTGGCACGTGCATTAAGGGTCACCCACATGCATCGGTAATAGTTCAATACTTGGTAGAACTTAGAAGGAATGAAGCTATCCTACAAAAATTACCGGAAGTAAATCGGTCGAGTGGTTGCTGTCGCTGAGATATAAGCTTCGCAAAAGTGTGACCAAGGCCGGCCGGCCGGCCGGTCGCTCATATACTCAGAATTTTCTGCTACTCTACCTACGTAAGACTTCGCTCGCTCCGATCGCTCCGTAAGTCCGTAATAAGATCTCTAACACAACATTGCGAAATAGACCCATTGCGAATTGGAATAAGTGTTCCTCCAGGATTTATGTGCCGATTAAAATTGAGTACCTACCTACAAAATGATCTATGATATCACTGGACCCCTCAACAAATTAGATTTACCTATATTTACGATCGCAATGGATCTGTCAAGATATGAGACTTATTATTTTGTCATCATGTTTTACTTTTTTATTTTTATTGTATGAAGATTTAAAATTCACATGTCCTTGGGTTACATTACATATATCGGATATACATACGTTTAACCGAACCGTTACGTCGTTTCCATCCTCAGGAAAGCCAAATCCTAGTCTCCTCCACACCTCAACTCCCTGTTCCGGGCTGGACCGGAACTTTATCCCATACGAGTAGCTCACCCAGAAGCCTGGTTCGGTGACTGTCAGGGCCGGGCTGGGTGACCCTCGTGATGAGCTCAGCCCCGAGTCACCAGGATACCCGCCCAGACCAATGTCTGCCCCTATATAATTCCTATCATCTTTCCGGCTTTGAAATTATCTCGTTCGTTAGACCGAAAGGGCTTCTCCTCACCCACCAAAAAAAAAAAAAAAACGCGCGTCGCTCGACTATTCCCAGCCGAACTTGTCCTGCTGGGAGGGGGGGGGGGCAAATTCTGCCCCGTGTCTTATTCCGGACGGATGGTCGTAGAAAGACGGGGAAAACGGCGTTCGAAAGCTCTCAGCAGTCAGCAAGACGTACCTACCTTTGGAGCAAAACAGTTATTGCCTTCATAGGTAGGTCAGAGGTTAGGTCAAGGTCAGGTCAAGGTT